TCTTATAGCCATTGCCCTTCTTGTGAAGAGAAATCACCTCTTCTCTTGTCTTCCTGGACCATTCTCTTGACTTCACCATGTTTGTAAACACACCAGTAAATGTCTAGAAGGAGCTGAGTATCACAGTCATTTTAAATCTGCCTAATTGGTGCTTATTATGCTTGATTGCTGCTCATTGACGTCCACAGGTGTTTTCAATACCTGATCGAAAACACTTGAATGAACCTCTGTTCTTAAGAGTGGTAGCCTTTAAGGGGTTGAATAATTGTGTCAATGAAGAAATCACAAAAAAAAACATTTAATACTGTATTACAAAAACAATTGATGTCATTTTAGTTTAGGGTTGCAAAGGGGCAGAAATTTTCCCATAAACTTTCCAGAAACTTTCCATTCCATGGGAAGTTAAGCTGGGGAATTTTGGAAGTATTCCAAGATGGAAACTTTCCATGTGAATTAATGGGAATATATGGGAACTAAACGGAAAATTTCCAGAATTTTGCAACCCTATTTTAGTTGCATTTGGTTCTTTAAAAAGTCCTTGTAAGATTTCATTCTGAACACAATTACAAATGTACACTGAATTCCCTAAAACCCTTTACAGCATTGGGGGTTGAATAATTTTGAACACAACTGTATGTCAAACATGCCTGCAGATGCAAGTAGTGCTGGGTATAGATGAAGGTTTGTGACGTTATAAGGTGATATTTGACAGCTTCTAAATGTGCCATGCACTGTAATCAGGAGGCCGACTATACAGGGAACAATAAGAACTTTCCAATAGGCTTCAGAATTTGCAAAGCAAAACTGGTCCGAAAATGCTTATCAAATCAAAGTCTATTTATCAATGTACCGCATACAGCAAGAGGTGCAGGGAATGAAACGTCACTCAGAAAGTATTACTATCATGTCATGCTGCCTCAATAGTATCAAAAAATGTGTCCTTTTTTTGAACAGCATTGCCAAGACAAATTAAGATGCCAGAAGTAATCCTGGACTGTAAAACTAGCAAAGGTCTCCACAATTTACAGCTGCTAATTCACGGGTACTTCTTGCCCTCTAGTGGCTTTCTATAGTATTGCCAACACGTTACAAGATTAACCAGACCGCGAACCATGGACTGCCATCCCTGACCGGGTGTCCTTTGCTTCCCGACAGAAGCCCCAGGCTGACTAATGAATAAGAGGATATGGGTAGACGGGCATATTTAAGGCGCACTGTTTTCTCCCAACAATATGGTACCACAAACAACTGTAGCAATTTCGACAAAGGAATGGTTACATTGAATAACCCGCCTTCGCTCGTAATACTGCCTTTCTACAGGAGATCCGACCGAAAAACATTCTGCAGGGTAACAGAATATTAAAACCCGAACGCTACAGTTAAAAGCATTACATATAGAGTCCGTACTGACGCGACACCTTGTCTGCAGATATCCGAAATCCGCCGGAAGCTGGAATTATTAAAGAACAGGGCGTGCACTCAGCTCCGCTTCCTAGTGCGAGGAATCTTTTCACGTCCCATATTTCGTTGGCAGGAACGGTTCAGTCTCCGTCCCCACCCGTGTTATCCTTTAAAGGATGCCCATAGGTTAACGGGATCGGAAGGCGGGGCTTACCTCTTACTGTGCGTGCTGGGATTGGAGGGCGGCGCGGTGGGTTAGGGTCTATGACTCGGCTGTCTTCTGGGTTTGCGAAATGCGCCATTTTGTTGTTACCGGAGAAGTGGACCGCAACAGAAAGAGTAAGAAGTCCAGTCTTCACGGTGATTATATATAATTTTAATAGACGTTTTTACATCGCGCTTGTAGGTAATTACCTGTGCGATTGTAGCGCTGTGTATGGATCACCGCTGCTTATGGCAGGGTTTAATAAAGTCGCGGGTTTCCCCGCACCGGTTGGCCTTACATAGGCGGATCGCTAACGTCCGTCGAATGGGTGTTAACTACCGGTGGAGTTGCCGGCTTAGCTAAAGACACAAAGTTTCTCTGGAGGAAGTTACATTTGTGGGCTGGAATCCTGTATACATATTTTTATCGTTGTACTATTTTGATATATCTCTGAATCTGGTCCCGTGCGTGTCAAATGAAATATTAACGCGGGCTCGGGGTAGCCGGGTAGCTAATGACTTACTGAGCTGCTGTGGGGAGTCGTGGACTTGCCGCACGATGTCCGGCTTCGCTGCTCATTTATGTTACTTCTCCGTATCTTATTGACGACTGGTGGTAAAGGTCGACTCGATTAGTACAATTTAATAACTTTGTGTAGGCCTCGTTGCTCGGTAACAATTTTAGTCACATGACTTGTATATGCTTTTTAGAAACACTACATTCACATCTCCCTCCTCATCTTCTGTGATGAATAACGAAAATAAAAACTCCAAGCCGGGGTGTAACTTCTCGTTTGGATAGACTCTCCTGTATTTCGGTTGCACTGCAGGTTGTTGGAGGTAGTGAGCTGTCTTTTCTCTTTCCATGACTGAGCATGTTGATTCGTGTTAAACTATGAGTAGACGTTTTGATTTAATCTCCCCCTATCTTCTCCTGGACCTTTCGGGTAGCACTGGGCACAAAGCAGGGGTACAGTTGAATGGGATGTCAGTTCATAGAAAGGTGCACACATGCTCACATTTACTCACAGAATCAAATATTGTGGGCAATTTATAGATCACGTTATGATCTTGAGTTTTCCTCAGCGATGTCTTAGGTAATGCTCAGCATTAATAATGAGGTGGCTAGTTTGCTGATGTTGGTCATTAACTGCTCACCAAGAACTGCAGCTGTGATCAAAATGAGCATGGAAAATTGATATTGTACTTGAGTAATTCTTTACTTGTCAATTGATTCTGTTTCCTCTGGACATTGTTGCACATGGTGCTTTACTTTATTGGGTCTGATTTATGCTACATTTATATTTTTTTATGGGAGTGGGTGGTTCTGAGGTGTCCAGAGCAGAGAGTGTTTTGCTGACAATTTCTCAAGGAATGCTTTCTAGATTTCCACAAGGTTAACTAACTTCCTGCTGTTACTAGCCCCTCTTGTGTGGAGAAACAGTATATTGGTGTGATAGTTAAAGGTCCTTGTATATGAAAAACAGTTTTGCAAGTCGTGGAGTACACCCAAATGACCAGTCATTCACAAAGCCTTTCTGATAGACAGACAAAGTTTATTAATCCCAGGGGATATTAAGGATGTCTCTGGTGTGGTCCAGTCTAGGAGTTTGATAAAACTGTTATATGTTATTAGACTGATATAAAACTAAGTCTGTGCAATTAGCCTTTGCATTGCAGCTTTAAATGAAATTGAACAACAGAATGATTTATTTGGAGATGTTCTCTTAATAGTTTTATCTATTCGAGGTGTTTTATATTAACCCTTTGCAGACTGGTCTTTAAAAGCCCTATTTTTTCAAAACTATATGTTGAAATGTTGCTGATGAAATGTCAGGCAGAGCCATGTGTCCCTTCGAGGTCAAATGTCACTTTTTATATCAAGCTTGAATGTTACTGGCCAGCTAAATGCACACCTGTCTTTATCATTTTCCCATTCCTATAGTTAAGGTCTTCTCTACCAGTAGTCATCTCAATAAAGAGGTAGACTAGCAGTGTGATTTCATGAGAAGTATTGTCTTTTCATCAATGACTGTAATGTCAAAGAACCTTAGTCTAATGTGGTTTTAGCTAGTAGAGTCAGGTGGGGTATTCCAATTTTCTTTCTCATAAAAATGTAGTTCCATACTTGGCATTGGATATTACTTTCCACTTAGGACCAGAGTAGGCAAATGTATGAGGTAGAAGAGATAATGGCACACCCATCACATGCCTCTTTCATCTGTATAGCGGAAGACAAGGCATAGGAAATTTGGCAATGTGTTTGGGAAGAACTGCCACTTGTCATTGGATTGAATTATTGTTCTAGTTTTTGAATGGCTGAATGATGAGGACCTGGGTGTTTAATGAATAGCTTAATATAGTAAACTGTCATTTTCTATGTGTGTATTTTGCTGTACACCAGGATCTGTTACAAAAAAAACATTGTCACAAGAGACTCTCATGACACATTATGTGTCTGGTATATGCTTGGAAAGTGTACCACTGACACAGCAAATAATTTCTGCAGAGTTTTTGTGTGTAGCTTCAGGAAGTCTCCCTAGACGGTGACAACCATTAGGAATCACCAGCAGTCGGCATGACCAGGAAGATGGGTGTCGACTTCTGGGACTTATTTCCTGTTTTCCCTCTGGATTGGTTAGTCTGACGTGGGAAGCCAATAGCCTCATTTTTGAATATAATAGTGTGTCTTTACTATTTGTCATGAGGCTGCACTGTAGCCTTCATAACCCTGTTGTAAACTGCTCAATTTAAACAGAAAACCAGAACTGAACTGTTTCAGTATGACTTCAATTTCATTTCCCACCATGCGCTGCCAGCATAGAGATGTCGGCCATTTTCTTTTGGGAGGGCCCTCTTTCTTAATGAAGTTGTCATAACCCTTTGGCAGCCACTGTGGGTTTGGAAAGAGGTGCTTTCCAGACCTTGTTTAAAATTTGATAAAGGACTGTTAGTTTCCGGGTTTTGCTGTCTCTTGCGTTAATGCTGACCTCTCTCCCGATTAACTTACAGGTGTAGCATTTCTGCTCAGGTAAACGATACTCCTGGGCAGTGAGGAGAGCAGTTTGCAGGCGGTCTGACTTAGCTGCGCTCGCTGAGTGTTGGGGGATGAAGACACTTAAGCTTTTGCTTAACGTTTGTAAATGTGCTTTATGAAACTCAGCACTTCTTCACTTAAGGTTTTGTTCTTATTTACTTACCTTCGAGCCTCTCACTCTCTGTCCTGAGCAGCCATGTTAGTTGCTGGGATGTCTTCCTCCCCTCAGAGTCAACCTGAATGACAGTGGGGTCAGGTTTCCCCAGCGTGCGGTTTTGATGATGAACCCACAGCATGGACAGAGCAGGCAGGTTGAGCGGTGAGCCCAGCAGGGAAGGTCGACCGTGCATTATCTGTACGGCAGCAGAGCTGCGCTTGTGTGTTTCGGATGGCAGAGCCATTTAGTCAGGGGCCGTTGAGCCGACAGCTGGAATGTGATTCTCAGCACTGTCTCTATTACTGTGGTTTAGCTGTTGCATTGACGGGCCCAGGGATGAAAACAAAACATGGCTGGGCAGAAATGTCACAGAATACTTACAAGGGCCAGCTAGGTTGCTTTTGCGTACCATTTAGGTAGAGAGGTTGTTTTCAGACCATTTTGGTGATCAAGGTCTTCTGGGGCAAAGAAACATGCAATGAGGGAAGTGTTGGCAGGGCTTTAGATAATGGCCATACCAATTTGTTTGGAAGCCTGCTTTTCAGTCCCATACGGATGTTTACTTACACCCACAATTTGTTAAGCAGATTAGTAGTAGGCCTAAAATTCAAATGAAAGGCATATTGTGATAGCCAAAAGTTAGTAATCTGTATAAATTCGGAAGTATCCTTATTGTTTGATAAATGTGTCGGACTTTAAACTGCAAAAAGTACCACCACACCACCAATGTCTTTTTACCTTGTTTATCCACAGTATCTGTTTCAGAAGATGATATGGCTGCTGAGCTGTCTTCACCGCCGCTTCAGTGCTTATCGCTTCCATTGTATTCTGAAACAGTAGTATGTCGCGTGCTCTGCTAACCTAATTTAATATAACATAAGAATATGCTGAATTTATACACGTTACTAACTTTTGGGTATACTGCCAACCCAGTTTTACGGAGGCTCTGCTCAGTGATACAAACCAACTTTGATCGTTCATTGGACAGAGGAAAAGTAACTGGAAGTCTGATTGAATGATAATGTCTGGCAATACCGGCACTTATGGGGCAGTGGTGGTTTGATGGTTAAGGAAGTGCACTTGTAATTGAAAGATTGCAGGTTTGAATCCCCGACCAGCAATGCACCACTGAGGTACCCAGAGCAAGGTACCGCCCCCAAGCACTGCTCCCCGGGCGCTGAATTAGCTGCCCCCTGCTATGTCATGAAAGTCACATATGGGTTAAATACAGAGGACACATTTCGTTGTTGCGCACTGTGTGCTGTGGTGTGTTGACAATGACCACTTCTATGTGATTTCTTGCTACAGGATTGTAAAGACTCCCAGATGGCTACAAACTAAAATAAAATACAGTAGTACTACAATGCCACATACCCATTAGGGATGAGCAGTATGGATTTAGTTTTATCATGATATTTCCTGGTATGTATTGTAATAATATAAATGACAATAAAAAATATTACAATTCAACACTGTCTATTTGGCTACAAATCTAACTCTGCATACAGTCTAGAGGGCTTGAAAGGTTTTATTTAATGATACGGTTTGTTCTTTACTTAAAATATATAGTTGTTCTTTTGGTATTTTATTGAAAGTATGATTACATTAATAGACCAGTTGTACTCTATAATAAAATGTATATAAATAAAATAAAATACCGTTCAATACCGTTTAATAATGCGCCACTGACTTTAAACATGGTGTTTGTGAGTCTAAGGCAGTTCAATGTCATTGCACCCGGCCATGCCTCATTAAAAGAACACCACTCTTAGAAGTGGAAAGCGGGTGAAAAATCATTTACTATTTTGACAATGTGCATGCATACTGTGAAAATGAGCAATGCACTGGTACATAACTAGTTTATTGTTATCGCAGTGATCATTATCATGGGGATTTTTTTTCCCGGTATATCGCAAAAGATACAATATTGCCCATTCCTAATACTCATGTATGTTTTTTTTTTTTTTTTTTGTCGTCGTCAGTGTTGTTATTGTTTAGACTTAGTTTTAGGTGTACTTTCATTAGTTTCTATTTTAAAGATCTAAATCTAGTTCTATATTTTACTTCTGGGATAGAAGGAAAGTTGTAGTACTTTGCTGGCTACTACAAAATGTCACAGCATGGTGCCGTTTACCATTTCTATGGTTCAAGTTCATTGCAGAACTGGCCCAAAGACACAAATCATTACTTTAACTAAATAGTATTTTAAAATGATAGTGGGAAATATTTGATGTTTGCTTTTTTCTTTGTTCGTTTTGGAACCTATATTTATAGTTTGTGTCTGATTGTAGCTATTTTATTTCAGTTTATGGAAATGTTTTCATTAAAGGTTATAACCCTGCCTTGCATACTGTAAGGACAGAGTACGCAGTCAGTTTTAGAAAAAAAAAATTCTTATAGCATCCGTACCATACTTTATAAATGTAACTTTTAAAAGCAGCTTTGTCTGGCACGTTGGTACTGGAAATATGAACATTCAGGATCGTGGGCAGTCTGGCCCTGAGATGCACAGGCTGCAGGCTGCACATTTTCATGTAAAGTATCACTCAGCCCTGAGCCACACCTACAGCACAGAGAGCAGATGAGAGGGTGGAAGCAGTGTAACTGTCTAAAATGTCAGGGGCATTCATTCTTATGTAAACACAATTTGGCAATATCGAGGTCAGAAAAAAATTATCGGTTATGCTTGTATATCATGCGATAAGTTGATAACCTAATTATCGTGAAAGGCCCAATATTTTAGTCGCAATAACACTCACTAACATTAAATTGTGGGTGTAAGTAAACGTCCATTTAGTACTGAAAAGTAGGTGTCTGGATACATTAGTATGCCCATTATCTAAAGGTCTGTGTTGGCATGGTGTACAGAAGATGTGAAAGACCATCATACTGACTATTATAAGGCATTTTGAAGTATCTATAGTGCATTATAGATGAGAGCTCCAGACAGCATCCATAATGCATAATAAACATGGCTTTAATGTCATGCCTTTTTTATAAATAGTTGCCGTGTTTGTAATACTTTATGAATGCATCACAACATATTATGAATATCTATAATCCATTATGATGACTACTTTAAGTAAAGTGTTACCGAAAAATAATTTCAAAATGTACTTAAAAAAAATACAGCTCCATTTAAGAAAAGTGTGGATTCCCACCTGGTCACTCAGAGTGCCAATATGATTATCACCTGCAGAAAACCAAAGGTAGTTGGTAAAGTTTTTTTTTTAATGTAGACAAACAGGCAAACTGCAAATTCATTAACCCCTCAGTGTCTTCACGTGTCATACGAGCTGTGGGGGTTTCTGGTCATTGTGGCTGATTTAAATTTTCTGAGGATCCTTTTTTTCTGTGTAGCTAATCCAAAAAGCAAAACTGAAAACGAACACCCTATGCTTAAATCTCTGATTTTAGGAAGGACCTATCAGCAATTTCTCTAAAGTTGTTAGTTGATACATGTATTGTATGGTTGTATTGTATGTCTTAAAATACACCATCTGTTCTAATCTAAATTTAACGTAATGCATAATGCTGTTTCAGATTACTGGGTTTCTGTTTCATGGTTAAATTTAGAGATGGGCGATCCACATTTTTTCAGTTCCGATCCGATTCCGATACACAACTGGCGATACCGATACAGATTCCGATACAAGAGCTCTTTTTACTTTGTTATACTTTATGTATAATTTTTATAAGCTAGTAAATACAGATGGAAAAAATATATGACAAAAAATATTTAATTAGGCTACTACAAACATTCATAGCGCACTGTTCCACCTCATTTGTTTTAAGCGTTTTTGAGGCATTTGCAGTTCAATATGAATATCTTCAAAGCAAGTATACACAAGTGGCCAATGCTTAAAATTTTAACAGTTTTTCTCCCATTGGCGTCAGCGCAGTTACACTTTTGTTGTGATGGCAGCCCCTCTTGTATCACAAGCTGCAGCGAGTTTGCGAAACAGTCCAATTAAGTTAGCGACACCCAAATCATTCATTGCTTTGTTTTGTCTTGTAGATGCGTGCGCTTTGTTAAATGGGATTGTCCATTAAACGCTATTCCCACCTCAAAACATTTGTCTACTTTTACATAGATTGCAAATCGCTGTGCTGCTGGTTTCTGTTAAAAGCGTAAAATACTCCCAGGTCATCACGTCTTATCTTACGCTCCTCGTACTGCGAAGGGTATGTGCATGACGTCACAGCAGGCGGAAGTCACTGTACTCACACCCACTGAGTAGCAAAAAACGACTGAGGGGCAGCGATAGCATTCGATTTGAATGCCGCAAAAAAACACATGTAAAATGGGAAAGAGCTGTCGTGCAATTGATTGCCAAAAACTAAATAAGTAAGTATAGGATGTGGATCAGTCACGCATGGCCGATACCCGATCCGTCAAACAGGTCTGGATCGGCGCTGATACCGATCCGAATATCGGTATCAGTGCATCTCTAGTTAAATTTGCAGTGTTATATTTTAAAAGCATTGTTAAAATGTTAATATCAGTAAAGTTGTGTAGTTATGCTCATTGGTTAAAAACTTAGTGCTGCTATGCTTGTTACATATGACTCCCTGTTTTCTTAATTAGTTTTTTTGTTTGGTTTTGTTCCTCAGGAGAACCAAGATGGGGAATGTTTTTGCAAACCTGTTCAAGGGCCTTTTTGGGAAGAAGGAGATGAGAATCCTCATGGTGGGGCTGGATGCAGCTGGGAAGACAACCATCCTCTACAAGCTCAAGCTGGGAGAGATCGTCACCACCATTCCCACCATCGGTGAGTGTCACTTTTCCCGCTACACTGGTTCTCATTACCCCCCCCCCCCCCCCCCCCCCCACACACACACACACACACACACACGCTTTATTCACTTCTTCCATCTGTTTATTAACCCCAGATTGTTCTGTGCAGCTGCATATCAACACGGGTCGAATAAATAACGAAAACTAGAAATGGAACAGAAGTGAATAGAATAGCTGCCTTTTATTCATCCCTGTGAGCCAGAGTCCTGCACCGAGTCGGGTACCCGCAGATAGTTGCTGAAACGAGCAGATTTTAATGTTCTGGAATTTTACGGGCGGGTATGCGGGCGGGTAATTCATTACACACGGGCGGGTAGCAAGTCAATCAAAACAGTATTGTAGCCTGCAAAAATAACATAAGCGAAAATATCTATGTATTAGACTATCATGTACAAATTGTCATCATCACAGTGTGTTCAGTATGTCGGGGGTACCTTATGGTGCTTTCGATTATTTCTCTCCAAGTCGGAACTCGGATGAAAACATCACGAAACGTCACGAAAAACGTCACTCGGAATTTCCAAGTTCCCGAGAGAAAAATGAACGCACCATTAGATAACATTCACATGCACGTCTGAATCCTTGCTGAAGCGTGTCGTTGTGTTCTCTTTCACGCTCGTCACAGTATGGATAGCTTAGATCTATCTGATTTGATTTTGTGTTAAACTGACTTTTTCGTTTCAATTCAAAATTTATGTAGGCCTAGCGCTTGTCACGTTGAAAGGTGCATAGAAAAAATTATTGTGTGTAATTTATCACGGGTACGGGCAGAATGTTAACGGGCCCGGGCGGGTGCGGATTTAACTTTGAAATAATCACGGGTGCACGGGCAGGTGTGGTGCTGCACTGAGCGGATGCGGGCGGGTGCGGGTCTCCAAAAGTGGACCCGTGCAGGACTCTGCTGTGAGGGACTTGTGTTGTTCTCACAAACCTCAACTTTCTCTGCATGAGGAACACAGGCACCATGTTCAGGTGAGAGCAGGCATTAGGGTCAGAGTGCAGTGCCAGCCAACCCCACTGGAGCAGTTGATGTTAAGGGCCATGCCCATGAGCCCTACAGTGATATGATTACCCTAACAGCTGTGTACCCGTGATCTTCCTGATCCAGGCATGGATCTGCAACCTGCTGAGCTATACAGCGCCACTACACAGGCTTTGGGCTGTGCAGGGGGGGCCCTTTGGTGAATGATGGAAAAATGGATATATATTATGTTTTTGCCGCCTCACAGGTTTTAATGTTGAAACGGTAGAGTACAAGAATATCAGCTTTACTGTGTGGGACGTTGGCGGTCAAGACAAAATTCGGCCTCTGTGGCGCCACTATTTCCAGAACACACAAGGTGAGTGAAAGCCCGTTGCCTCCAAGGCCCCCTCCCTGGCCTGCCAGCTCCCCGCTTAGTTCCTCTGCCCCGTAGGCCTGATCTTCGTGGTGGATAGCAACGACAGGGAGCGTGTGAACGAGGCACGGGAGGAGCTGACCCGCATGCTGGCAGAGGACGAGCTACGGGACGCCGTACTTCTCGTCTTTGCAAACAAGCAGGTGAGTTTCCCGCCACTGTGGTGGCCCAGTGAGTCGGGTAGTAGTTACCTTTTGTACATCAGAGGGAAAACTCAAATTAATTTAACAGTGTCAGAATTTCACCTTATCTACCATCTGGCACCTACCATAATTAAAATTCAATTATCTAACATCTTGCCAAACATAAATCCTTGCTATTCTGACTGCCCAAGCAGTGCACTCTACCATTTTCCTGCCCTGGTGTTCATTGCCTAACCGTAACCCTGCCCCTTCCAGGACCTGCCTAATGCGATGAATGCTGCAGAGATCACAGACAAACTGGGCCTGCATGCCCTGCGGCAGCGCAATTGGTACATTCAGGCCACATGTGCCACCAGTGGCGATGGCCTCTATGAGGGCCTGGACTGGCTCTCCAACCAGCTCAAGAACCAGAAATGATCCGTTCCACTTCCAGAGCGTCAGGGACACGCCCCTTCCAGCCCCTGGCCCTGTTTTCTTCTCCTTCTGTCACCCCCCCCCCCCACCACCACCACCTCGTTTCCTTGTTTTGGGCCTATTGCTGGCCAATACACATGTCTTGTGGGTGTGGGTGCTTGTGTGTGTGTCTGTGTGTTTCTCTGTCTGCTGCGAGTGGGAGCAGCCCCAGCGTGCCTTTTACACACTTCCCACGGGAGCGATGGTTCAGCTGTCATTACCTCGGTGTGAGGGCGGAACCAGGATGGAAGATGGCGTCTCTGAACGAGAACCTGATCTGCACCACCGTTTTCAGTGTTTAGATGTGCATGTTAAAATGGTTGAAACTGTAAGCCAGTTTAATTTAATATATATATAAAAAAATCTAATTTGTGACCTGTATCAGGTTGAAAGAGATTCAAAGACATTTTCCATCCTTGATCCTCCTCCTGATCCTTGAAAATCCTGCTTTTTTTCGCCCCGTCTTCTGTCGCAAAAAAAAATCCCAGGAATCTTGCAGCTGTCTGTCTTATGAACACTACCTTTCTAATTTGGAGACCAGAAAGCACAAGCTGTTCAGCATAGAGGTTTCCTCTGTTATTAAATACAAACTTGTCTATTGGAAAAGCTACATTGGGGAAAAACACAGAATAGTGTCAGGGTTGTAAAGGCTGTGCGCACTGTGTAATATGGGGTGCCACTCCTGAGTGCTACTAAGCATTAGTGGTTAGTGAGTTACTGAAGGGCAGGCTTGACAATCACATGCCCACATTCCACTGGGTACCTGATTGTGCCGTCTCTTTCCAGACCAGGTTGAAGGTGGTGTCCCTGGGGGATGCAACTGACAGCAGCTCCTTCACCTGATTCATTCTCGGGTTGTAGTGAAGTCATTGGAATTTATACATTTCGAAGTACAAAGGAAGTTCTTGGTATGGGTTTGAACTTCACTGAACTCCATACACAGTTAATATAAGGCCATTAAGTAAGAAACTTGCATCCAAAGCTACTTAGGATGCTACTTGGCCATTATACTCCCTTTAAAACCTTGAGAAGCAGGCAGGTGAACCTTGTTTGAAAGCTTTTGACTTGTAGGATCTGTATACCCCAGTGGGATGTCTTGAATTCATTTAGGACCTAATTGTTGTTTTTTAGTAATCATACAAATGAGAGCTGAATTAGTTGTGTTTTGGGACACGGAGGCCTTTTCAGAGAGCTGCTCCTACTCTGTGTGTAATTATTATTATTATTATTATTTTTCAGGATTTTCTGTTTTTTTTGTACAGAATGCCTGCCTCTGGTTGGCATGTCTGGAGAGCCAGGTGTACAGTGGTAATCATATGGTATATTTGGAGGTGGGGGTAACTGGGATCGGTTGGTTTTTGGATAGTTTTCAGCGGTGCTGGGTCTGAGCTGCAGAAACATGCAGCATGTTAAAGGGACAGTTGAGGCTGGAGGTCTGGGGCTTAAGTGATCAATATATTATTTTTTATGATTTCATTATTGTGATAGGGTGTGTGTTTGACTTTATTACAGTCCTGCTATGTACCTGCTGTATGACCAATCACAATTTAGGATTGATGTTTCCCATAAGAGATTCTCCATTGAATTCATAATTATCACACAGCTACAGGACACATTCTCATCATCTGTGACCGGCTGGACAGTCTGTTACTCAGGCACATTAGCTACGTAGCAGAATTCAAGCTGGACTAGGAAAAAATTGCAGCCCGTTGCTTGATCTCAATGGAGCTTATATAGGTTGTTGTGCTCTGTGCCCCTGCATTATCCAGACAGCCATTTCAGATTTGTCTGGGTTTCGGCAAAGGCAGAAACTCATGACCTGCAGGTTGGGAAATGCATTTCTGTGTTAACTTCTGTGTTCCTAATCAGCTTAGTTGACAGGAACTATTATGTTATCCTGAAACTTGCTATATTTTCGACTTGGCCACAGTGCATGTTCTGCGTACCTTATCTGTGTGTGGCTGAGAAATCTCATCTTCAGTTAATACCTTCTTGAGGGAGGGTGGTCTTTGCATACAGCTGAGCAACTGCAGAAACTTAAGTAAAATGCACCCAGCTTTGTAAACATGCAGGTGTAAGTCAAAGATCCTCATCTTGACATTTTATTTTGTCTACCATAAAAGCCATACAGCACATAAATCTGAATTACAAGTATTAGTGAGAGAATCACAAATACCTTATTGCATATATTTTAGGTAGGTCCATTACGGTTCAGACGTGAAGCTTTAAGTTTGAGAAATTTATAAATGTTTGTGTGTGTGTGTGTGTTTTTTTTTTTTTTTTATTCCTTTCCCCAAATGAGTTAATTTTCCTTTTGTTTTAGCCTTTTTTTAATCCATCTTGTAACATCTGAAAAAATGCACTATAATAAAGATCTCTATTTCAGTTTGTTTGTAGGCTTTTGAGATAGTGATTAATTCAAGCATTATTTGCTTTTGTTGTAAATGTTGTGCTGTAAATCCCAAAAAATAAAGTTAAGCAGGGCCCCATCTGCTGTATGCCACTAAACAAATTCAGATTAACCTGGAAGATTATGAATTGGTAAACCCTCTAAATATCTGAGGTTTTCACTTTTTGGAATGCATATCTTGGATTTATTCAGCAGCAAATCAAGATAAAATATAAGAATGTGCATCATTGTGGTTAGATTGGTAGATGCAGTATGTCATGCTTTCCAGTAACTGAAAATACAATCACTTTGTTAGAATCACTAGTAACATCACTATGAAAAGATGAACCTGCTGCTGTACGGAATTGTGTCTATAAAGTATCAATAACAATTGCCTACAATGCCCAAAAATCAATTACTGATCTTTTCCTTTACATATTAGTAAAGATGCTGTTTTGTATCCATAGGCGAGAGAGGTATAAATGTTTGACAATATGGAGGCAATGTAGTAAGGCTTATTTAAATTGGAAGCATTCTGAAACTACCTTCCTTTGTTTTTATTTGCATTCTTAGTTGCTGCTTCTGTTTTTGCCATGCTTGAGTTCCTTTATTAAAAGAAAATATCCAATGGCAATGTGTGGGGGTAGAATATCTGAAGAATACCCCTGTGAATGGAAATATAATGTAAAAGTTAATGATTTACTTTTATCTCAGAAGAGTTAATAGCAAATTAAAGAATAAAAGGGAAAGGCTATTAAAAGGGGTACAGCTATTTCCATTACAAGCTTTGCAGTTTCTCTTGAGGAAGCATATGTATAGCATCTTTATATCTTCCTTGCGTTCATAATGACAGGTCATATATTGTATGGATTTGTATGCAGCACACTACAATTTTACTTGACAAAATTAGTAAACGCAGCCGTCATTAAAAAGGATTTACCCAATTTCCTCCATATCATCTCGTATTCCTCTCTCTGCCCTGAGGATATAGTTGTTTTTTGTTGAGTGCTCCGTTAAAAAAACAAAAGAAACTTTGCTTTAGGCATGGTAATTCCTGCTTATGTTTTGACAGAGATGCACATCCTTGCACCAATAGGTTCATCTTCATTTAATCCCCATATGACTGAACAATGCATAATATGTACTCTTCTTAGCTGTTTTTGACAAGTGATTGCTCTTTTGTCGAACCATGATTTCAGTGTGCAGTTAAGCATCCTTTTTATAAGCGACATGAGGTACTCCCAAAGGCAACTAGGGTTTTTTTTCCAGGTGGTGCAAGGTGAGATTCATTACAGGCTATGCTGAACTAAGCTGCACATGAAAATAGTAAATACATAAATTATTATTACACATTGATATAACTAACACGAGCCTTATATTCAAATAAAACTTTGCAACATAATATAATGTTACTGATCCTAATATACTGCCTGGCCAAAAAAAAGTCACCGCTTGAATTTAAATCAGCAGGTACTTAAAAGCTAAGGATAGGATCTTTTTTAAAGCTTAGCAACGTTAGGCAGCGATAAGGTGAAGTCAGCTGAATACCTGAATCTACTGAATGGTCAGGTTGTCTCATCAATGGGTTTTTTCTTACCTAAAGGCATGGACATATTCCTGGATGATAAGGCCAAGATTCATACGGCTCCAACTGCTAAAGAGTAGTTTAGGGAGCGCAAGGAATCATTTTCATACATGAATTTGGTAGCACAGAGTTTTGACCTTAACCTCATTGAAAATCTTTGAGATTTGATGACTTTACAGAGTGGTTCAACTCGCCTATCATGAATAGAAGATCTTGACGAGAAATGAATGCAAATCTGGATGAAGTTTTGCAGCATAAGCACATGTCATCAATGCATTAACGAATGTGCACCACAAAGTTAATAGTGGCCCAACAAAATATTAAACTCTGCGACTTTTTTTTTTAGCCAGGCAGTATGTGTTCAAATGTTAAAATATATTTTTTTCTGACCAGTAGGGGGTGGAATTTTACCTCCGATAAAATCGCCTATGGGTGCACCTGCTATGATAACCAGACAAACACGAGATCAGTGTTCCAGGAACTGAAAGTCTAGGATATCATTTAGCGGGTTAACCCAATCCGAAATCTGTCAGTTTATCCAGAATTTGTTTGATGGGCTGCGGCTTAAAACCCCCAGAGGACAGCGCTATTGGCTCGATTTCACAAACTCCGTAGGCACGTGGTCGACGTACGATGGCGCCCCAGAGCTACGAAGGAGGAAACTAGAGGTCTTTGCGGCGCGTTGTGGACTGAAGTTCTGTCACAGAACCCAGTTCTATGCGAAATGCCAGTTTTATATCACAAAGTATTGTTATAGTGCCGCTTAATTCTCAAACCATAGACATGTATATGTTCCAGAAAGTTAAATATAGTAAGGGAGTAACATACCTGTGTCTGTTACGCAAGTACGCGTTCGCGGTATAAAGGTTAAAATGCGCGGTAATTTCGTGTCATGACAGCATTTATGGCATTTACTCTGGCGTGACACTGACATCTTCAGACTCACGCTCACGCAAGAAATCTTACGGCAAATCGATATTATTCCATTATAAACCTAAAATTAGCTGCATCAAAAGCGTTGGGATAGTTTGCAAACCCTACAGACTATTTACAAGGTAATAAAACCGTTACGTACATGTAAATGAATGTACAGACTTGTCTCGAATTGAAAATCTCAGTTTATCCAGCTGACTAAAGTTGCAACCTGCTGTTATGACAAGAAATTTAACCTTTAATACTGCGAATGCGTAGCCTACTTGCCTACTAGCCTACTAATATTTTGCAAGATGTACAACTTGCGAGCAGGAATGTGACGTGATGCATCAGTTATTTATTCTTCTTATTCAGTACGTTGTCGCCTTCTAACTTGGTTACGACGATTAGGTACACCCCCCTGGTTTAATCCAGTCGATGGTTATACCGCATTGTGTAGTGCTCAAATAACCTGTTCTGTCACGTGAAGTCAATTGATAAACCTTTCTCCATCATCTTAATCCGTATCCTGTTCAGTATGTCCACTTGAGACAGTTCGGAGAACGAATAAATCACACGAGGTCATCAGCGTAACTAAAAACCATTTATTGCATGAATAAATTTGAACCTTTAAACATACAATTTAAAACGGATTTTCGTTATAATGATTCAGAATATTTTGCAAGATTAGCTTGTTTCATTTTCTGTTGCACTTTTTAAAAAATCTAAACAACTATTGTTAACCTGTTTCTGAATTATTTTCATTAATTTCAATAACATTTCATATGATGTTGATCTTTTGGTCTTTGGTCTGTTCTTGCATGTGCAGCTTGTTCCATAAAGTCTGAGGTTCAGGATAACCCCTGGACAGCCAGAGACACACAAATTCACCTGGTCTTTAGACAGATCAGTTTGTACTGCAGGAAGGAAGAGTTTTTAGAGGAAGCCAAGAAAAAGAAAGAAAAAAAAATTAGGACAACCTGCAAAGTCGACACAGAGAAAGCTGAAGCCAAGTTTAATCCCTTGCCCGTGAAGGAGTGCCCAGTGAAGCATTCCTTTAAATAAAATATTTACAACTCAGTATCACGAAGCACGTCTACGTGACATGGTAGCCTGTCAGGGCATGGAGGTGGGTGTGTGTTAGGGAAGCTAAGAGTTATGTTGCCAGGTGTTTTCAACTCATGCCAGGGTCACCTATGGAAAACAGGTCTTGGCAGAGGTGGTACCTGAAACCTATGACATATACCAGGCCTTAGGGATACAGTCTTGTGTCAACAGCAGATAATTACAGTGCACTATTTTAAACTGTGGAAGAAGGCAATGATAAAGCACTTCTATATCTTACTAAGAAAATCTTATGGACAGGCACACTAGAATGAATAATGACATAATGTTTATAAGTGGCTCTTTCAGGTCAGAAAGCATTTATTATGCAAATTTGATGGAGCTAAGCATTCTACTGAGTGCAGAGGGTGTTTATGACATACTTGGATCAAAGGTTTTTGGTTGTTCAAAAGCTGATGTCATGTCAGCAAATAAAATTCAAAAGAGAATGCAAAGAGAAGCTGTAAAGGATCAGTACTACAACATTGTGTGGATCATAAGCTATGGAAAGCTGGATATGGTAACGATGGACATAGATCACTTGCAAATTGAGATCTCAGCAAAATTAATGAGCTGGACTATGATTCTTTCAGTCAGGAAAACACCATTTGCGACTCAGGAAATGGAGTGCAAAGAAGTTGTGTGGCTTTAATAGTTATGAGGGACGATGGAGAGACTGTAACCCACTGCTGTCTGTGACCAACTGATATCATGGTTATATAGGCTTAAACAGATGGGACATGCAAAGAAAATATGTTCATAGTGAATTGAGAATGAAATGCCAAAGTCAGAAAGGGGGATGTGGGAAACACTGTTGGCCAGTATTTATTTAGTTAATCAGAAGAATCTAAGCTGGAAAGTAAATAACTACTGTCAGTGAATCCACCTCTTCCCTGCCAACATATTCTTCTGGCAACAAAAGTGTCATCTTAATACTTGGACATTACCTGATAGAGGTCAGAAAAATCAAATAGACCACATACTCTGTGCCAAATGATGGAATTCAAATAGCAAAGACTAGATTAGAAACAGATGAAGAGCTACTATGTGCAAGCTCCAGGTGAAACTGAACAACCTGAGAAAACATCCAAACACAACACTGACGAATATGTGGGATCAGTCTGTGAATTAATCAGGAAGTGCATCAAGGATGTTTTCCTGTCCAAAACAATAAAGATATACCCCAACCAGAAACCTCGGAACAACGCCCTCCGTAAGACAATACAGGCAGCCAAGTGTGGGTACGGGGCCAAGGTGGAACTGCAATTTAATGGAAACACCTGAAGCATGAGGAAGGGACGGAACACCATTACAGACGACAGAGGAAAAGCCGGTGTGATGTGCACTACCGTATCTCTTCTGGAAGAGCTGAAGACGTTTCATGCTCGTTTTTCGGCCAACAACACCGCCCCCCAGAGAGGCTGCATGCTGCTGATGATGTCGCTATGCTTTCTGTGTCCGTGGTCAATGTGTGCAAGACCGTCACGTGAGTAAATCCCCCCCAGGCTGCTGGCCCAGATGGCATCACCAGGCGTGTCCTTGGAGCATGTGTCAGTGTTCATGGAGATCTTCAACTACTCCCACACCCTGTCTGTTGTCCCTACCTGCTTCAAGACATCCACTATTGTCCTTCTACCAACGACCACCAGGATAACCTGCCTAAATGACTAGTGCCCCATTGCCCTTACTCCTATTGTCAGTAAGTGCTTGGAGAGACTGGTCAGCGACATCATGGCTCCACCCTGCCTGCCTCACTGGACCTGTTACCGTTCGCTTATTATCAGAACAGATCCACTGACGATGCAATAGCCATGCCTCTGCACACTGCCCTCTCCCACCTGAAAAGGAGGGACACATACACAATATAGATACAAACACTGGGACACCTGGCCATTACCCCTACTGGAGCTTTTATGACATCCCATTCTACTTACATTGGCATAAATATGGAGTTGGTGCCCCCTTGACGGCTGTAACAGTTGCCACTCTTCTGGGGAGGCTTTCCACAAAATTTTGGAGTGTGTCTGTGGAAATTTTGCCCATTCATTCAGAAGAGCATTTGTGAGGTTAGACACTGATGTTGGACATGGAGGCCTGGTTCGCAATCTCTGTTCTAGTTCATCTCACAGGTGTTTGACGGGGTTGAGGTCTGGGCTCTGTGTAGGCCAGTCAAGTTCTTCCATGCCCAACTCACCCAATTTACAGACCTTGCTTTGCGCGCTTGGGCATTCCCCAAACTGTTCCCACAACACTGGAATCATAGAATTGTCCAAAATGTCTTGGTAAGGTGAAGCATTAAGAATTCCCTTCACTGGAGTGTAGGGGCCTAGTGCAACCCTTGTAAAACAACCCCATACCATTATCCCTCCTCCAACAAATTTTACAGTTGGTACAATGCAGTTAGGCAGGTAACTTTCTCCTGGTGTCCTCCAAACCCAGACTCCTTCATCAGACTGCCAGAAAAAAGCGTGATTTGTCACTCCACAGAACAAATTTGCACTACTCCAGAGTCCAGTGGCGGTGTGCTTCACACCACTGCATCGAACTCTTGGCATTGTGCTTGGTGATGTGAGGTTTACTTGCAGCTGCTTGGTCATGGAACCTCATTTCATGATGCCCCCGGCGCACAGTTTTTGTGTTGGGGTTAATGCCAGAGGAAGTTTGGAACTCTACAGCTACTGAGTCAACAGATCTTTGGCGACTTCAGTACTTAGCAACCCTGTTCTGTTATTTTATGTGGTCTGTCACTTTATGGCTGAGACCCTAAATGCCTGTGACCGTGGAATATCTATTAGGGAAGAATTTTCACAAACTGACTTATTGGAAAGGTGGCAGCCTATGACAGCGCCACGCTTGAAGACACTGAACTCTTTCAGAAATGTTTGTAACCCTGACTGGATGGCTTGGTGCTTGATTTTATACACTAGTGGCAATGGATCTAAATGAAACACCTGAATTCAATGATTAAAAGCTGTATCCCAATACTTGTGTCCATGTAGTTTATATGATAATACTGTTTGTGGACTGCTGCTCAGCAATCAACACCATTGATCTTTTCAAACTCAACAGGAAGTTCTGAGCCCTCAGCCTGGACAGCTCTCTGTGCAGCAGTATCCTGGGCTTCCTGTCAGATCAGCACACGGGAGCCCCCCTGTACACCCATGACTGCGTGGTCACAAACAGCTCCAACATCATTGTGAAGTTTGTGGACAACACGACGGTGGTGGGTCTCATCTCCAATGGTGACATGACCATGTACAGAGTGGTAGAGTGCTGACATACTGGTGCCAGGAAAACTGCCTCGCCCTCAATATTGCCAAGACCAAGGAGCTGATAGTGGACTTTAGGAAGCAAGGAGGAGTACACATTCCCATCTCCATCAACGGGGCCACATGGAAGGAGTTAGCAGTTTTAAGTTCTTTGGTGTACACATCACAGAGGACCTCACATAGGCAGTGCATTCCACTGAGGCAGTGAGGAAGGTATAACAGTGCCTCATCTACCTCAGGAGGATGAAGAGCTTTGGCAGAGCTAAGCCCCCAAAGCCTCGGCAAGTTCTACTGATGCACCACTGAAAGCCTCCTAACCAGATGCATCACCACCTGGTATGGGAACTGCACTGCCCTCAGTCACAAAGCACTGCAGAGGGTGGTGTGGACTGCTGAACAGGTCACTGGAGGGATCCATCACCACTGCAGGCCATCTACACCAGGTGGTGATGGACAAAAGGCATTAAAACCAACAGGGAGCCCAATCACGCACTGTATACTCTGCTACTGTCAGGCAGACAGGACCACAGAATCAGGTGCTGGACCAGCAGGCTCCGGGGCAGTTTCATCCACCAGGTGACCAGGATGCTGACGTTCAGCTAGTAACAGTCACCCTGCAGGACACTAACTCCATTCCCCATTGCACTACTAGAAATCCTTTTGATGCACTAAACTGTTGTTATTTGCACCTAAAGTCTGTGTAAAGTATTCATTGCATACTGTATTTTGTGCATATGTATAGTATATATTTCGTTCTGTGTACAGGTTGAATTTATTTAGTGTATCACACTGCTGATGGGGAACTCTGGACCCAAGATTTTTACTTACTAGTTCACTGGATCTAGTGATGAGACAATAAATGTGATTTGATTTTATTGGACAAGGCCACCTAACATCCAAAAAATGATCTGGAGAATATACACATTGTCTTTGAAAAAGGAATGACAGCTCTTTAAAAACAGAAGACCCAAAAGGCGGACACAGAGGAATCAGGAGCAGGCAAGGTTCCAAAACAAAAGGGTTTTTATTGGGGTTTACAAGTACACTGAAAACAAAGACGACCGCACCGCGTTCGGAACCGAGGAGACAAGGAAACCAGGGAACATGCAAGCAGTGCAACAACATTAATGACAGAACTGGGGTTTGCTGGACAGGGAGGCGCTTACATATAGGAGTAACAAGGGAAGATAATGAGGGGCAGGTGGAGCGCATCACATGAGGGCTGGAGCAAGAGGTAAGATGAACGAGCCATAGGCGTGAGGAAACATGAGGATCAGGCAGGGCAGGACATGACATTTACAATGAGAATACCCTTTAAAGGGTTTATAAATAGTTTATAATCAGGTTATTAATTTGGTTGTCACACTTTGTAAATCATTAATAGACAAGAATAAACAAGCGATACATTTTTTTTTTTACATTACCACCATTTATGTGACAAAAGGGAGCCTTATTATAAAGTAGTACCAAAATTGTGAAGAGAAGCCAAAATCAGGAATTATATGTCTCTTAAAAGTGCGGAATTGGTTTAGATGGTTTTTGTCTGCCTGAAACAGTAACAGCAAGAGATCCTACAGTCAAGAAGTATGTCATAGAATGGTGCTGAGCAGAACTGCCTTGATGAACCAGCAAAAAAAGTAAAAAAAACAATTGATCAGAATATGGTATTTTATGTGATTATGGATATGAGAGGTGGATAATGAAGAAACCAGGTGCCACAACTGCTTGAAGCAGAATCCTCTGGACTGCAGTTAAAGCCACACACCTGGATTCTTGATCAAATGAAGTGTGAACTTTCATTTGATGCACAAATGACTTGACTAAACTTGACTTATTTTGAGAATATTATGTACATGCATTGGAAGATGCCATAATACTTCGGACAATTGTAAGACGAGGGAGTATACAACCAGAAACAAAATGGATACAAAGCATACAAACACACTGACGCCAACAGCCGTATCGTATCATCAAGTACAGCGCCCAATTCCCCCGTGAACCTGTACTTGAAAAACGGTTGGAAGGTAAATTGCTCAGTAATTCGCGCATAATTTATCTAAGAGACCAGTATAAACTCTATTGTCGATAATACAGTTGTCTTTGGAGTATTTAAGCCATATTAATGCTCCAGGGGTCAGGATAAACCTTTCCATTGTGTAAAATTCACAAAAAATGTCCTCAAAAAATGAATGACAGGTTTTATCCCAAGTTTCGACACAGAACGTGCCAATTTCTTTAAGCTTCTGCGCGTCAGTGCAGGATACGACATGCATGGATTTATGCAGTAGGTAAATATATCTGTCCCTGAACACGCGATCTAAAGAGAAAACGTACACCAGATTTAGAGACTTTCTGTCACAACACTCTTATTGTACTGCGTTGTGACAGATCAGACACCCCGTAAAAAGCTGCCCCCACAGCTCAGGTGGAACGGCATGCTAGCTCCTCCCACGGATATGAGACGCGGGGCAGAGCCGTCAGCCGTGCGTGGGAGAGGCCGAGAAATGACAGCTTGTGGCGGCTAAGGAACAGGATCTGCCGGTTGTAGGTGATCAGTTCGTACGCTGCCCGCCTCGCCGACGACTTCCGACCAGGTAAAGTAGAGTCTCCGGTCTGGGGAGGACCAGCACTTTTAAGGTCTCCTTTTACCCTTCAGAGCATGATCCAGTTCTTTTTTTATTCAGAGCATTTATTATATATATTTACTTTAAGAAACTTCCGAATTAAATTCGGTCTTGATAGTGCATGTGTGAATCGTTATTATAGGCTAGTGTAACACTAAAACCTGAAATTGATTACGTTTGTATTTTCTGCTTTACGGAGTCGATTGTTAGAGTCCATTTAGTTTTGATTAATTAATCATCTTTTAAAAAAAAAAAAAAAAATCAGACGTAATTTTGGAATAAACTGTTTCTCTACTTTGGCATGCCTTGTCTAGCTGAGATAAAACAAAGTTTCCTAGCTGACTTTCATCCAAGTATCAATTTCTAAACGTCAATACTTCCTTGATGGTGACTGTACTGTATATTCAGTGGAAATTAGCTAAAGTTTAACTGATCATTCAAGAACTGCTTTCTTTGTGTCCTGCATGTTTCTACTCTAAATACTTTGTAATAGGGTAAAATGGTAATATGGTAAGAGGGTAATAGTTCTGAATGAATAGCTAGGTTTATGTGAACCCAACTTTACAGGTACACCTGTACATATTTTTCCTTAGGTGTTAAACTGGGGAACACAGTCTTTAGCAAACATCGCACTCTGTATTTTCTATTATTGTAATATCTATTCCATTTCCAAAGTAAAAATGAATTTAAATGCTGATACTTGATACAAAAAAGATTTCAAAGTGTCACAACACCAACCCCACTATAGCAGATAACAGAGGTTAGAATTTCTGTTTATTTGCTTCTATTTTATGCCTGCTATTCATGCCTGCTTGAGATTTAGTATCTTATCTACAAAAACCTCGAAATCAGGTTTTAGCTTACACTGCTAAACAAAGGAGCAGCACAGGGGATATGGGATGTGTCCAGATAATGCAAGTTGTCCGGGGTAACATTAATACACTGCAAACTTTGTTTTGGTTTCAGTTTAATGACTTACTTATTCTGTGTAACTTTAGTGAACGTTAAACATTTAGACGTAGGTTTGCTATTTTAAGGTTATCTTTTTATTTTTTATGATTATTTCATTCTTACTTGTTAAACCAAAATCACTTGGACATTATTTCAGCTGGAAGAATTTTCATGAGTAAGTAGTGATTACGTTTTGTGGAGCTGTTCTTTTTTTAATTTGTGTACTAATTTCTAATTCCTAAATTGCCTGGAGTGCAAGTCTGAGGTTTGCTGTTTACTCTTTATACGTGCCTGTTGTACATGAGGAGGGCAGGAAGGGGGCAGTAAGTTTCAGTATGAGGTGTCCTGGGGGTGAGTCAGGTGTGGGGGAGGGGGCACCGTGCCACTCTATCTCAGTTTGACTACTGAACTGCTTTGTGTCTGAATACAAAGAACAGGTTCCTGGCAGTTCTCCAAACTCGAGTGAGCTCATTGCCTGCACTGCTGACAAAACCCAGGAGAGGTTTTAACTAACAACCCCCCGCCAGCCCCCAACTATGAAGAAACCACCTGTTCATATGTTCATGAGTGTAAATAGTGGATCACATTACAAACATCAATAAAATCATGGATCTTTACATGATTCAGGGTTTTTCAGGAACTTTGACTTTGGCTCTGGATTTTGGATTCTGTCTGATATCTGTCTTCCCAGAGGGGATACCTGAGATTAGATCAGGCAGACTTAAACAAGCACCAGAAAACGCTCAGGGTGGCTTCGAGGGGGGAGGAGAGGAGGCGCAGGGGAGCCCTTCGAAGGGTTAGGAGGCAGGGCAGAGCACGGAGGTGAAGCGAGGACACAGATGTGAAGTGATACTGGGCCGGTCGGATGGGAACTCCTCTGTCAGCGCACGCTCACGGGACAGTCGGACTAACAGCAGGTCCCGTCATGTCAAAGCAGGAATTAAAAATAGACATGCCTTGGACTGGCAGCCTGCACAGAGAAACAGGCGGAAAACAGGCATCTTCTTGGGTTGCTGATTTTGGGTCACATTTAGCAGAGGTAAGACACCAGGTGTGTGTTCTTTTGGAGCTGCGGCGGTGTGACGGACTCTGAGTTCAGCCGTGCTCGTGCAGCCAAGCCAGAGCATGCTAGCTGATCTCTTTATTTATTTCATTATCTGCCGATGATGAAAAGCCTCGGATAAAGTCGGCCGCACATATTTGTTTGTGTATTACTCCTCCTTGTGCAGCATGGAGTTGAAAAACAAAACAATTAAATTAAAACATACAAGTTACTCCAAGCCTATCACACATTTGCATTTTACTAATACCTAAAGCAGGCAGAGGTACATGCTGCCAAGAAGACAGTGCAGCATTTAATTAGCAGCCGCAAATGATGTCTTATTGATAGATCTGGAAATTTATAGTTACTTTAATGTGACACTCAGGAGGGACAAGATCTTACACAGTTGGTCAGTATGCTTGGAAAAGGGCACAGAAGTGCCCTTTTCCAAGCATACTGGCTTTAGGTATTTACTAATACCTAAAGCCTGCCTGCTTTAGGTATTAGTAAAATGCAAATGTGTGATAGGCTTGGAGTAACTTGTATGTTTTTTTTTTCAATTCATCATTTAATTGTTTTGTTTTTGAACTCCATGTTGCACAAGGAGGAGTAATGCACAAACAGACATGTGCGGCCGACTTTATCTGAGGCTTTTCAGAAGCACACGGCCTTGGAAGCAGAGACACACGTGGGGACTGGTCACTGAACGTCCCGTGCCATGCTGTCATTGTTCCTCCCAGCATCCTTGGAGATGGAAAGTAAGAGACCTGTGGTTGTTTGCCCCACTAATGGTGGGGCCCGGCAGGCGATCTCCACCTGCTCCAGTGACCTCCGACCCCCCGCCAGGTGTGTTAGCGTTGCTGTGTGACTGTGACGGCACGCCCTGCCGGGGCACGCTCGTACACGCAGGCGCCAAGTCATCCGGGGTCGTCGAACAAAGGAGTGTTTTGTGCGGTGTCTGACGGCAAGCAGCCGGCTCCGCCTCCTGGCCCACGCCGTTTGCTCTCCGCCAGAGAGAGTGACCCACTGGCGTGCTTGAGCTAGACCTGGCTTCATTTAAGCTCCATATCAAGTGGATCTTGTGATTTTATTTTTTTACATCTCAGGAGAAGATTATCATGGTTTTGTGCATTGCATTGATCGTGAGGAAACCGTGAAACGGTAGAAAGGTCCAGGCATGTCCCAGAAAAAGCTGCATTGGGTCTAATCCCATGCAAGCCCAAGGATAACCCTCACAGACCCGGCGGACCCTGCGCAAACCCAGGCTCTGCCATGGTGGCTGTACCGCGAAACACCTGTTCCTTCTTTCATTGCGGTCAGTGAAAGAAAAAGGCAGAGTAAGTTTCCCCCTTGAGATAACACCACAAGCTGAGCTGGTCTGTGCGGGCTTTGGCTGTATCACGTTTCCTCTAATGAAAGCCTTAGAAAACAGGCATTTACACACTGGCTCTCCACGTGTCAGTGTGTTTTTTTTTTTTTTATTTTCTACGTGTTGTGTTTTTAGATTCTGCACAGTCCCGCTTCCTGGTTCACGGAGAAGACAACCCGTTAGGAGGGAGAGGCGCACCCGAGGAATTGGCCGTGATTCACTGCAGGTCGCTGCAGCCCGTCAGGCACTCTCACAAGTTGCGGCTGACCAACGGGCCGCTGCGTGTCAGCTGAAGGTGGGCCCCGCTCTGCCCCCGAAGGTCACTGGTGCATTAAGGGGCCCCAATTCCACCCGAAAGTACCAGTGCCAAAGTACGCCCGAATATAGATAAGCTGCCCCTCAAGCTCCGAGGAGGTAGTGTAGGGTATGATGTGTTTATGCACACGCACAAACACTCTTCATGCCTGGTTGAAAAACTGGTTGTCTTGTTTTTGTTGTTTCTGTTGCCGCGTGCATATCATTGTTCTAAGCCCTGTCCTGGGCCGCACCTTCTGCCTCTTCCTGTAAATAGGATGTGGGGAAATACCACCTGCAGTCATGTATGTGTTAGTAATATGTATTAACAGATCATGGTTCTGTAGGGTGGTTAGGCTGGCTGAGGTCATGGAGCAGTCAGGCTGCTGTGGTTTTGGGGAAATGACAAAGCTTCCATCTTCCTTCATGGAATCGCTCTGTGGCTCCCAGTTTCGGGCAGATGCCACCACCCATCTCCATATCTGCTATTGTTCTTACATTTTCTTTCTCCTGTGCTTGTTTTTGCTTTGTCCCACTGCTGATATCCTTCCATTAATTTTAACACAGATTTTTTTTCTGCTGGAGTTTGGGGGGGCTGTACTGTGTTAAGTTGAGCTTGAGGAGCAGATGCTTAGATTGACAGAAAACCACTGTTTTTCAACATGTATAAGTCGCGGGACATAGACGTGTGCTTCCCATGGCTCCCCTGTCACTGTTCTGGCATGTCTGTTTTTTTTGCTACCTCTATGTGTATGGTTAGTGAAATGGACATTGTATAACTCTACTAATAATACACTAATCTTTATGTTCTAGAGAATTCCATGGAGGTGGAAGGGTCATGGAGAGAAGTCTTTAAGGGGGCAGACAGTGCCAAGAACACCTGCACAGATGTTCAGAATAACCCCAGTATTAGGACCTCAGCTGTGGAAACTTCAGCCTTATGCCGGTCCCTGCCAGTCAGCATCCATCAGAACAGGTACTTTGACTCACTGGGTCATGGGTTAACTAGCTCAACTACTCTGTATAACGTGAGAACAGCTTGAACAAGTCAAATGGGTAGCTGGATGCAAAATAATATCAGCACAGGTCTCAATGCAGTTCAACTCTTAATGTTTCGGCACGAGGCCTGGGTGCCGTGCGGGAAGGTTTTGCCCCGAGCGTAACAGTGGCACGCCCCCTCACCACCGGCACCCGGCAACTTCCAGGCACCTGACAGATTTATGGAAGCACTTATGCGGAGTCTGCCTCCCGTTGACAGCCAGCTGGCGGTAGAGCTCAGGTTCTGAGCTGCAAAGTATGTACTCTGATGGTGGAGAGACTGAAAGTGTCAGAAGTCCTATGCTGCATCTATCCATACAGCCATCTTCCATTTATCTGGTACAAGGTCATGGTGAAAAATCTAACAGCTCAGGAAATGACTGGACCAGTCCCATGTTAGAAGTTTTATTAATATGTCCATTTATCTTCCAAACACTTAGCCAGTACAGGTTAAATGGGGGGGGGGAGTGGAGCCTATCCCAGAAACACAGAGTACAAGGCAGTGGTCAATCTGGATAAAGATACCAGTTTAGTTTTAGTATATAGTATTGTTTTACGTTTTCATCTTTCAGATCCAAAGAAGGAGAGTCACCCGCTTCGTCAGTGCCCTCAATACCCAATCCCTTCCCAGAGCTCTGTAGTCCCTCCCACTCACCGGTTCTGATTGGCTCTCCACTTGGACAGGGCAGCTCTCCTGCAGCTGGCACACATGTGAGTGAAAGCAGGCGTCGGTGCCAGGGGGTGCTGGACAAGGCGATGTGCATGTGATGTCCCCTAATCATTACAGTGAAATTATAAACATCATCCATCCATCCATCCATCCATCCATCCATCCATCTTCAATAATAGTTTATCCAGAACAGGGTCATGGTCACTGAATCCTATCCCAGGAAGCACTATGCACAAAGCAAGAGACATCCTGGACAGGACATTGTTTATTTTACAATATTTTCTAAATATGTGGGCATTCATCAATCAACTGCCTGAATATAATGACAAATAACCAATGATTCCTCGTTCTTTAGTAATGAGCATTCTCGGTGGGTCTATACTCAGAACCCACATTATTCCATGGTCTGTAAGTTTATGACCCAAACTCACTCACACCAAAAGTTAAAGACATGAAGTTGGTGACCAGGAGAGTGAGGGTGGCGATATTTTTTTAACCAGGCTCTCTGCAACCCACTGAAAATGACCCAGTTTTTAGTCACGACCCACCAGTTGAAACAATGATGTGGTGCACCTTTAAGGCCAATGAACCGCCTGCGTGTCATTCAGGTGACTCAAGAATGCAGAAGCAGGTAATAAGTGGTTAATTTGGTGTGAAACAGTTTTGCAATACGTGCAGTTCCATAAATGCCCCAATCGGCTATGTTTGTTTTGTCGGGTTTGGTTTGGTCTGGTCTGAATAGAGGCAGCCATGCTGAGTGCTGAGGCGTGACTGCTGTTGCAGTCTTACTGGTATGTGGTAGCGTGTCATTTACACGGTGGCTGGCAGAGCCGCTCGCGGATGCTGTCATCTCGCAGACTGACGCCAGAAGCCCGTCTGTAATTCGGCGCCTCAGGGGACAAGCCGTCACTGGGGGCAGCAGAGCGGCAGAAGGGCAGAGTGCTGTCCTGGGGCATGGCAGATGTTACCTGATGTGCCCGGCCTGCGAGGCAACTGAGGCCGCCGGGGCCGTGTGCATGCTCACACAAACGCACGTGCTCGCAGAGACGGGGCCTCGCAAGGGCGCTCAACAGCGCCTGACGAGGGCGGTGCGACATAGCGCGGAAAGAATGCTTCTGACGTTACGCAAATTGAATGAAAACGACAGAAAAACAAGGAACACAAAACACAAGAATACTGTGCTACAGGTCCAGGTGTTGACTGGACCAGTCCCGTGTGAGATGCTTTATTTATTTGTTCATCTATGTTCCAAATACTTAGCTACTATGGGGTAGTGGGGGGAAATCTCCCAGGAAAACAGGTTATGAAGCAGGGGGCATCCTTTTCAGCATACCAGTCCATCAGAGGCTACATATTCTCATACACAAACACATGCTTTATCCATTCAGAGACAGCAGTTCAGACATGTGTGTTTTTGGACTGTGGGAAGAACATGCAATCTGCTTATGCAGCTTCATACATGTGTAATGTGCCTTAAATAGAGAACTAAACAGACTGTAAACTGTGTGGAGAGTAGCTTAACCTTCAGGTATTACACACGTGGAGAAGAAAACATATCAGTGGCAAAGAGCAAAAAGCATAGTGTTTTCCCAGTGAAGGTGCATGGCATAGGTACAGAAAATCTTACACTTTAACACAGCATCTTTTCATGCAGGATTCCACCTAAGAGGCGACCCAACGATCTTCTCCACTCACACGGCCAACATCACCATGCTGCACATTGCAAATCAATCGTCATTGTTCCACAGTGTGGACGGACACTGAGATTATAGTGTCATCACTAACAATTGGGCAAAATGCGCAGTCAGGTGTGATCTGAAACGGCCAGGTTAATACAGGAATGCTACTTTGAGTGTCAGGCACAAAAACATATGTAAAATAACTGGCAGCTCAAGCTGGAATCTCAAAGCATCTCCTTCTAGCTGCAAGTTCAAAGTTTCTTGAAATCTGTAACCTGTTAATTCAGGCAAAGAAAAGCAGTTGACAAGTGTGCGTGTGACGCGAGTCGCCTAAAATTCCCGGCTTCCTGCTTACTTGAAACCAAACTTTTTGTAGTCTTGGGATATGGGACAAGCTGAAAGTGACATATCCTCGGAAGGCATTTTTGTGACATTTTGCGTTGGTGTGTGGCTGGTTAACCTGAAGAGGAGTTATTTGTAGCTTTGATGGTGACACACCTATGTTCAAAACATAACACACAATGACAGAGTCAATGGTGGTAGTTTTAAAGAGGAGTTGTTTTTTTTGTGGTAAATAAGCACACATATCTATAGTCCTATAAAGATTAAGGTAAACTTTACATATTGTGCAAAACAGGCAGCATGCAGAAATGGTACACATAGTGCAAATAAGTAAACATGGTGCAAAAAAATTAATTATGCAGTAGGAATGCGGAATATCAACAATCACAGCTGGAAACGCTTCTCACGAAGTTCCCACTTTTTACTAATTTTAATAATCCTTCCTGGTATTTTGTTTTTTATTTTTTACACCACTGGCATGGCTAGCTATCTTAAACTTCCGAAATCCTCTCCCTTTAAACTGCATTTCTTTGTACGACGTTGCTCTGCTACTCAGATGAAACCAAAAGTTTTTCCCTCTTTTCACTAAGTTGAACTTTACGCAGCAATAAAAGAGACAAAAGGACACTAAGTGGAAGGGGATCACAGTGTTGAGTGTGAAATGCACCCTACCCTGGAACATTGCACAATCCCTGCATGCCGTCATGAATGGCAGCCATATAATGTGCCACTGTCATCCTTCCTGCCCCAGGCTGTCTGGGCCTGGTGATTGGCAAATGACATATCCAGGTCAGACTGGTTGTTATAGCTGTCCCATGGGATACGGAGAGGCAGGATGACACAGCAGTGAGCGTGTCCTGTCATTCTCATTCAGTGTTTCAGATACCACCTATTGGCACATTAGCAGCCCAGTATGAAGAATATATCGATACAGTGATATTTCTCCGGAGATGTTTCTTTTGTTCTCAGTTTAGCGGGTTTTCTAGACTACATTTGGACCTTACTAATGGAGTGCATGGGGCTCAAAGCACTCACTTGTTGAGTTCAGAAGAACCCGGTTTCTGTACAACAAGACTGATGGACAGCTGCTGTGATTACCATCTCTGTAGCTCTGTTTGGCATTGTATGGCTGTCTGCTCTTGGATTGGGCCAGCAGTGTCTGGCCACCTTGGAAAATGCTGGTGTTTGACAAGCCGTATCTTAGGTATCATGCACTGACCTTTATGCTGCTTATGGCAGTGCCATATTGGAGCCAGTCTACCTGGTGGTGGGTATCCCTTGCTGGCTGTCACTTGAGCTGGGGGTTCTGTGGGTCTTCAAGTCCCTAGAGAGAGGTCACAGTATGGGAAGCTTTGGTACTCCAGGAATCCCAGTCTAACTGTGTCTCCTTAGACCACGCCATTCTCCAGTTCTCATGGACCTCTGTGATCCTGCTTTCAAGAAAGCAAACATTAATCTCAGTCTTCTACTTCTCTGAAAGCCTCTGAAACCATGGGGTTTCCATGCCACATCCTCCCCAGTCTTAGCCTAATGCTTTCTCCACCCTACTTTTAGCACCTTTACGCTGCTACATTTCTGTAAGCGAAGAGACACACCTGTGGGCTCCTGCCACATAAGGAGATTCTGTTTTTACATCATCTCTAGAGAAGAGATAGAAGAACAGTCATCAATGTAAGTACCTGTGCAAACCCCCCAGCCAATTAATAGACGGGAAAGGAAATTAGTTACAAACAGAAATAGCCACAAACGATCCTCAGTGAGACAAGGTTAGTGGCTGATTCTCTTCACAAGGGCAGAGATGGTTCCCTTGAGGTTAAATCAGCAGCTCTTGCTGGGAAATATTCCTTCTTCCCAGATCAAGGGCAAAAATCTGAAACACAGAAAAGCCTTGGGCTAAAAGGCTACATGCCTGTAACAGGCCATGACACTAACAGCTCCCGAGGGCCCATTAAAAAGGAATGATGCCAGGCCAGGTGCACAGGGCAAGGTGCCCTTTAGATGTGCATTCCCATGATTATTGCATCTGAGACCACATAACCTGTGCTTTGTTGAGGTAAAAAACACTCAAGACAATAATGCTTTACCAACTTGAGTGCTGTTGCTCCAACACTCTAACCTGTTCAATCCCCTTATACAAAGAGACCATCTTTATGCTGGTGGATCTAATCAGCTCCATGTTTGCCAGCTAAGCGACAGGTTTACCTTCTGATGTCTGACATTCACTTTCCCACAAATGTTTCTCAGGAGAAAGGTCCTTCGGTTCTCTTCAGGATCCTGCTCTATGCATCATCTGGCTGGAAGCCTCCGGCTGCCTGTCAGTTGCAGTGAGAGGCTGGCTGTTCAGGCCGCAGGCACCAGCATGGCTGCTTTTATTTGTCCAACCAACGTTTAACCTCCATAATGGGCAGAATAATGGGCACAACAGCTGCAACAGACATGATAATACAATAACAATCTTCACTCTTAAACAGCTCAGCTGGCTCTGTTTAACAGTCCTGTTAGATTTCTACAAGCCAGCAGGACTTTCTTTACATCTTTTGCAATGCACTTACATGTTTTTGTTGCAAAAACCTTTGTCATAACACCTTTTAAGGGCCAGATTCTAAAACAATTTAATATAAGTGTTTACCTAAGTGTATGTCAATGTTTTTCACTCCTCCTTGAATTTGAAGTCAATATTCTTAGTCACTATATTATTAGAGAGTGGAAAAAAGAGGATTTGGTGGATATCTATGATGTCATTATTATTATGTAAATGTTTTTACAAGCTGACCTTTATCCTGACAGATCTGTCTGCTTACTGATACTAGAGTCTAATCCTTTCTCTGTGTGCTTTCGTTTATGGTGCCATGGTGATATGCTACTTTTAGTTGAAGTTCCTCGTCTCTTTTCAGTTTTCTGTCCCTCATTGTGTACCCAGTACTACTGTAAGAGCTGCATGTATACCTGTCAACACATTGGTCACATTTCTTTACTTGTGCATTTAGACATCAGCATTTCTTTGTAGGACTGAGTCACCATATGACGACAGTAGGGTTCACCTCTGCATGGCACACTCTCAGCCACGTGTCTGTCACTGGTCTTGGCAGGTGGTGAAGGTCTTTGGGGAAGATGGTCGCAGCCGTTCGCTCTGGGTTCCCACGGGTGCCGCGGCACGAGACGTCTGCCGCATGCTGGTGCAGACGGCCCACTGTGCCGACCAGGAGAGCTGGGCCCTTATAGAGCTGCATGCGGGCCTCGGGCTAGGTGAGACTGGCAGTGCCAATCCAGATGTGAAGTCAGTGATGTAAGATTTTTATAACGGGTCCTCATTTATGAACATGCACACAAAGCCTTTGACACTTGCCAGTCAGATGTTACAGATATAGCTTGTATCTTTATGAAATATCCTTAAGGGTTACAATATAAACTTTTATAGCCTGGTTGGAAAGAAAGAAACACTTAAAATTGGACATTCTGAGTGACTAAGATTTGCCAGCTAGGTAAAGAGTATAAATATTGTTTTATTTCTGGTGGCTCATGATGCAGTGTAATATGCTGCAGTCATTCAATAGATCAATAGCCTCCTGATCCTCCCCACAAAAGGGGCCATTGACCCTCCATGGGCCCCTGTTTCTGAGAGCCCCGCTGCGGCTGCACCAGCTGCACTGCCTGCAGCTGCACTGCCTGCAGCGCCTGTACTGCACTCCTAATGCCATATGCAATTTGTCCTCTTCATATTGCATCTCACTTAAAATACTTTAAACTGCATCTGATGCTAGGTTAAACACATATTTAACAATGCACATTTTAGGTAATTTGTCAAACAAATGTTTGCAAATAGAGTGCTAGCCGAAAGCTGACAATAGATGAGTAATCATACAGGAGAGAAAAATTGGCAAAGTCAACAAAGGCAGAAGAGCTCTCCAAAGCCATGTGTATTATTCAGCCTGAATGACGCGGCACCAACTACCTCATTGTTTGATGAGACTCCCTATTATGACGTGATAAGTAGGTTTGAAAAGTGACCTCCCAGTGACTGAATGAAAGAATGATTCTGGAGTGACATAAATGGGGCTTGTTCTACATCTCTGGAGTGGCCAGTTAACAATAAATGTCAGTATCCAGTCAGCTTCCTAATTCTTATCCTTGTCAGGTTGATGGGAGGGAGTATCCTGGAACCCATCCCAGGTAGCGTGGGTCACACTGGCAGAGGTGCACCATGGATGGGGTACCAGCTCATCTCAGGGCACAGAGATGCACACAGCCTCATGCACATAGGCAATTTAGATACACCAGTCTGCCAAGCTGCATGTCTTTGGGCTGGCAGAGAAAGCTAGAGGATCTAGAGGAGACCCACACATCAGAGAGAATATTCCTGGGATTCAGAGTCTCATTCTTGGTGTGAGGCAACAGCTCTACCTAGTGTTGCTGTGCTGTCCTTAAATGTCAATACAGATGATCTTTGGGTTACAATGGGTTAATGTTTCCCGAAAAACCTATGGTAAGGTGAAAAGATTGTACAGCGAAAATGCATTTTAATAGAGTACATCAAGCCTAACAAACATCATAGCCTAGTCTAGCCTGCCTTAAACATGCTTAGAACACTTACATTAGCTTACGGTTGGGCAAAATCATTAACACAAAGCCTATTTAATAATAAAGTGTTGAATATCTCATGTAATGTAATCATCCCCATCATAAAGTCGAAATATTGTAACACGGACCATCGTAACCCAGGGAGCGTCTGTATAAAGAAACAAATTACAGAGACACAGATATAGTGTAATCTAATAAAACTACAAGAGAAGTAAAACAAGGAAACCTTTGTATATCTGGGTATTTTCTTTTCATTCTTTGTCAGGATATTTTCCTTGCTCAGGGGTACTTAGGTAGCCCTCCTGGGATGACCTGTATCCTTTTCCAATGAAGTTCTCAAATTTTCAGATGCATACTGTTTCTATAATGGCAGTTTTGTTAAAGGCTTTTTATGTGGCAGTGTAGGCATGTTCTGCAGCCAGGTGCAGAGTGTGCACTGACATTGGCCCCGTCTGGTTTGTATGTGCCAACAGAGCGCTGCCTTGAAGACCATGAGACAGTAGTGGAAGTGCAGGCCACCTGGCCACTAGATGGAGATAGCAAGCTTTTATTCAGGAAGAACTACGCCAAATACGAGTTTTTCAAAACACCCATGGTAATGAGCACTTTCCGTTCCTTTTTTGGGTCTGGGTTGGCTTTATTTGTCCTGGTCTGTCTTCCCCTCCAGACTGGAAGTCAGGTATCTGGACTAGTGTGCAAGTGAGTGGTTCCTGTCATATCCTGTTTCAGATGTTCTTTCCGGAACACATGATCTCTGACAGCGCTGATGTCAACAAGGGCATGACTTCGTCAGAACTCATCCAGGTAACCTTGAGTTAGTGATTAAATTTCAGAGAGCGAAAGAGATGCTAATGGGAACATTCATATGCTTTATTTATTATGGTCTGTCTTAAAGATACAGGCATTCATGTAGAAAATGGCTTCATTTGTAGGATTTTGTTAGATAAATTCTTTTATTTTGGTGTCTTCACGACAATACCATACCGATTACACATTGAAAATGCACAAACTTAATCTATCATCTAACCCAAGCTTATAAAAGCAATCTAGGAAAGAGTACTTTATCTTAATTACTACTACATTACTACTATTACTACTACTACAACTACTACTACTGCTACTACTACTCTTATTATTGTTACAGTAGTAGCCTAATTGTACTACTACAGTGTCTGGTACCAAAATAAATTAAAATGCATAGACACTTAAGGCTGCAAAGTGCATTTCAGTTTTCCTTCTGCAATAAATGCAGTATGTTATTAGAAAGAACAGGTACGTCTGAAAAACTCTTTTATTTATTTATATTTTCTTTTAAACTCTTTGATTTTAGTATGTCTAATGTACAATTAATAGGTATATTTGTACCAAGGAGGCAGATTGTTGCAGTACTGCCATCATGAGCTTCATGTATAGGTGTTTGCTGGGGTATAAGACCTGTCCTGCTGGCATTTGGCACCAGGTATAGATGTCTCAAGCATGACTGTGTTTTGCACATTGGGGTTGACAGCTAAGCCCTCTCCCTTCCAGAACCTACTCAACTCGGGTAGCTGTCCAGAGATCCAAGGGTTCCTGCAAGTCCGGGAGCCCAGCCGCAAGGTGTGGAAGAAGGTCTGCTTCTTTTTGAGGAGATCTGGCCTCTACTGCTCAACCAAGGGCTCCTCCAAGGTCAGATTCCCAGGATGGAAGCAACCGTGTCTGTCTCCCTTCAGCCTCCATGGGCACTTTTCCACTGCAGCAGGTACCATAATTTTGGTACTTCGAGAAAGTACCAAAATTACGGTACTTCAAGGTGTTGGTTTTCCACTGGTGTAAAAACTGGTACCGGCGTCAAATGGCATCACAACACGAGGCGGATATTTTGTACTGAATTCTAAAAATGGCTGTAGTATATTATAGGACTGGGTGATGTGCAATATTAATACCAACATCGTATGTTATGCACATGCCATTCTCACATCACAATCAGCTAGATTAAGATCAAACTTTAAATTCTGTATGGACATTATAGCACAGTAAGTTTGAGATTCACTAAAACATTTTTACTCTGTCATAAAAAATAAAAACTTAACTAGCTTTGCATTTTTAATTATATTTCCTCTTATTTTATCTAATATATGTTTAAAAATTTGTTTAAAGTTCACCTCTGCTGCTTTTGCATGAGTGCTTGCTGTTTGAAAGCACGCCTAGATGAGTTTCTGAGAAATTTATGAACTCCTTTTTGCTTTATAAATACTCCAGTATTAATTACAACAAAATCACATCACTATATTTACAACAAAATCACATCACTATATTTACCACAAAATCACATCGCCAGTACAGCACACATATAGCACGCTGTCCTAGTATATCAAACAAAATACTTTTTAAATTTCTTGTCGTGCCGTCCCGAACTTTTTGTTGCATCTTAAGCATACACTGAAGGTCTGACTCAGTGTAATGGGTGTTTGATGAGCAGCTTCTTTGTGTCAAGGCAGGAATGTTAATTGTCAGTAGCTACAGTGGAGCTGATGGCAGTTTGGCTTTCCAAAGTCAGCTTCGTTCCCTCCATTTTAATACTAGTAAGAAGCTTGAGAAAGAAACCCAACCAGGGTACACAAAGGGGAATAGTCAAAGGCACAGACGTTCCCTGTAAATTAGAATTAAGTGATCAGTGGTCATTGTCAACACACAGTGCGCAACAACGAAATGTGACCTCTGCATTTGATCCATATGTGACTTGCGTGACATAGCAGGGGGCAGCTAATTCAGCGCCCGGGGAACAGTGCTTGGGGATGGTATCTTGCTCAGGGTAGGGGGATTCGAACCTGCAATCTTTCAGTTACAAGTGCGCTACCCTAACCATCAAGCCACCACTGCCCAAAAAAACCAGCAATATTATTTGTATTTGTTCTTCAGGAGCCTCGGCATCTACAGTACGTGGCAGATTTGGAAGATCTCAACATCTACACCGTTACTAACGGACGCAAGCTATACGGGGCACCCTCAGACTTCACCTTCTGCATAAAGGTAACGTCAGCCATGACCGGCTTGCCCCAGAACAATTTCATGGCGCATCAGCAAAGGCAGCGCAGTGGGTGGTACCACTGCAAAGAGCAGGTCATTGTGTCAGCGCAGTGCCATCTGAGGCAGGTGACCAAAGGGGAGCGTCGCGCGCTGACAGTCAGTTTCGGGAAGCAGAAGGGCTGCAAATGAGTGGAGTTTGTGTGGGCGCTCTCCAGCCCTGCAGGAACCGCGCTCGCTGGCGGGACATGAAGCTGCTGGCCGCGGAGAATGAGCAGACGCGCACCTGCTGGACCACTGCCTTCAGGCTGTTTAAGGTGAGGCGCCGGGCAGGTGGCATGGTGACGGGAGTACCGGGTGTACTTTCAAATGTGACACAGTACACGCAGGCTTTAAAGGCCCAGGAGGAGAGAATCCTTCCTTAAAAAGTCCATAAATATATCACAAAACAAATATTCTGTCCGGGCAGATAGGAACTCTGTTCTTTATCTGACAATAGACACTGAATTGAGTCTCAATAATATCAATATTAGTGGCCATACACTGTCAGAAAAAAGAGCACCAATTTGTACTCTTGCTTGTCACTAAGGCTGTACCCTCAAGGTACCTTGTAAGATACAGAAATGTACTATGAGGAACATTTTTGTACCATCGAGGGTACATAATGATGTTTGTGGGGTGATATTCTTCAGAGTCCATTTTTGTACCTTTAAAGGTACAATTACCTACAGCTTGGGCATACCCCTTGACAAGCCCCAGTGTCAAGCAGAGGTACAAATTGGTACTCTTTTTTTCTGTCAATGTAAAAAATGGATGGATAGAGTATTAGTACTAATATTAGTAGTTGACTAGTTTTTTGTGTATCAGTATCAGAGCCAAGGTTTGCTGCACTCATGCCCATAAATCATTGTACTTCCTGCTGAATCTGGATACCAACCTTGGATGATTTGATCATGTCACACAAACAAGCAGATCTGTCTGCTCTAGTGACTGGCTTGTCATTATGGTGCTGTTGCTGGTGCATGACGGTGTTTATGACTGACACAGCTTTCAGTTTTGAAATCTTATCCTTTTATCTCACCCGCGGCCTGTTGGTGGCAGTATGGAAAGCAGCTCCAGTGTAACTACCAGCTGTCCCAGTTCACGCGCAGGCAGGAGGGCACTGGGCGCCTGGGTGTCAAGGTAAGACCCCACAGTAATCACTCTATCTGCCTTAGCTGAGATTTAAGCTGCAAGCCGGGGCCAGTCCCTTGACTATCAGCTTCCAGTGTCAGTGTGGTAGTTTTGTCATTTCTGAGCGATGTTCCCATGTGTCCAATGGCCAGCACTGCATGTCTGAAGCTTCCTTGGTGGCCATGGATTTTTCTGGAAAGGCGGGAGGTCGAGTAATCGCGAACCCCAGGGAGGCCCAGCACGCCGAGCAGGAGGAGGGCCAGGCCTGGAGGGTAAGAGAGGGGGAAGGATGATGCGAGGGGGAAAGAGAGACACAGGGGCTGGGATAAGATGAGATGAATGTAGAGAATTCTTCTTGTGGTGCGAGATAAATACTGTGGCATGATGAGTGTGGGTGAGTGAGAGAGTGAGAGAGTGAGAGTGCAGGTATGTGTTAATGGTTCAGCCTGCTTTGCTCCATCAGAAGAAGACAGCCCTTCGCTACAGCCTACCCAGCTCCTGCTCCGGCTCCCGCAGCACCCGTGAGTCACCCCCCACAGTACAAAGCACAGAGCGCTGCATCCCAGCATGCATCACACCATGTATCATAGCTGAAGGAAGTTTCCTGTTATGCCAGACATCACAGAGGGACTTCACTGAGAAATGCGTGTCTTTGCCTAGTTTGTGGAAGACATTAAGCATAGAGTTGCAATTACCATTTATTCATTAGGTTTCAGACCTCATGATGGGTGAGCTGTCAGTGACCGACTGCAACTACCTCTTTGACATTGGTTATTCTATGGTTCATCATTGGGATGGTGTTTCTCACCCACTGTGGCTTTGGGAGCTTCATGTCAATCACTTTCTGCTACTAATACATCTCCGTGGCTTGATAGATCACATTGTTTGCTACAAAAAACATTATGGGGTATTTGAAAATTGTTCTTTGTTTTTTTTTATTTTTGCTTGGGAAATCCTTTAAGTACGTTTAAAAAGCACTAGCTAACAAAAGTGAGATATCTTTGGAAAACCCCCAACCAAAATGAGACACTCTTTGGAAATCCTCAATTTCCCTTGATGGCAGAACAGTGATGTGTGATCTTCACACGTCGTATCTGCGTGTGGATTGTAGTTATAATTACAGATGTGTCATGTTTTCCCAGCGATTCACCAGACCCAGCCGTGGTTCCATGGTGGGGTGTCACGAGGGGAGGCGCAGAGGCTGATTGAGGAACAGGGCCTTGTCGATGGGTGAGTTTGTCCCCCTCCACGTCGCCCATCAGTCATTGGCTCCACATGACATCGCCCTTTCCATGTCTGCAGGATGTACCTGATCCGTGAGAGCCAGCAGCACGCCATGTGCTTTGTCCTCTCACTCTGCCACAAGCTGAAGACCAAACACTACCTCATCATCCCGGTGAGCTGGCTTATTCCTCACCTTTTTCTGTCCACTGCATGCTTTTATTCTTTTTGGGTCCCGAAACCCAGACTAATCCACATATGTCCCATTTTTTTTACGGCCCCTGTTATTCACCCTACCTTTCTCCCCTTTATGGCTTTGAAAGATGAAACAGTGACAGCGGTCTCTGAGATCTCTGTTCCTTGTTTTTTTATAGATTCTCTGTCTTTTTTTCATTGACCAGCTCTCCTTTCTCCTTATTTGCCTGCTTCTGCATCCATCTGGATGAATATGTAGCCGTTTCTCTGAGATCTGCAGCTTAATCTCGCCGTTCCCTGCCCGTTCTGCCTGACGGTTTTGTCTCTCAGCTTGTCCCACCTGTCTGTTTCCCCATCAGCCTGTCTATCATTTCAGATGTCAGCTTCTCCATTTCTGGAGCAATTCCTCTCTATGCCCAGGTTCCACTTGTAAATGGCACCTTTACACCTCACAGTGTGAAGACGGAGGCAGGAGTTACTACACCATGGATGACGGCGTGACACTCTTCATAGACCTTCTGCAGCTGGTGGAGTTCCACCAAATCAACCGGGGCATTCTGCCCGTCTGTCTCAAGCACCCCTGTGTCCGGGTTGCCCTGTGACTCCGCCCCATCGAGCTGACAGATCAGACCACTCCCCTCTTGAATCCCAAACCCCGCCATACCTGCGGTTTCCCTCCAGGAGGTGTGGTTGGGAGAAGGGATAGAGGAAGACAGTCAATGAGGAGATGGAGGGTTTGGTGGATTTCAGCTTTACTCAGGTCACCCTGAGCCTCCATGCCTGCAGGCTAGCTGGCCTGGCATAACCTCACCATTGGGATCTGACTCATCGCTGTTCCATTTTACGGCCTGGGATTGGCCGGCTCTGGCGTCAGGGAGCCGGGCTTGTTTTGGCCATGGGCATACGGAGATGTCTCTGTTTCAGGAGAAACAGCGCTCTTGCGTTGGCATCACGTGATGCAATTGGCCACATGACGCATTCTGTTGGCACTTCCATCGTGGTGGATTCTCAGCAATTAGCCAAATGCTGGGGGGCCAGCGCATGAAAAAAAAGATGTAGCGATAATAGTAGTAAAAAACCTTTGTTAGAAAAATTGAAAATGTGCCATGCCTGTGAATCCATATAGGATCAGACTCATGTCAGATAAGGAGACATTTAGCAGGGCATACGGTTTTAATTGGGGGTGTTGGAACTGAAGCGTGCCCCCAGCAGACAGTCTGGGAGATGGTGAGATAAGCGGCAGGCACTGAGAAGAGTCTCCTTACTGTGGAGTCGGGGCAGCAGTGCAGTGTTGCACCTATTGATTATCTTCAATCTTAGCACCAGTGAGCTGTGTCCTTTCAGGTACATTTTTATATTAACCAAAACAGTCTAGTTATCACAATGTTTATGGCTATGACTAGTTATGGACCTGTCATGAATTTCAGTCTAAAATACATATTTTTAATAATATTTTTGCTTAAAATCATGAATTTCTGATTGTCTTGGTTAGCAGAACTGAGGTCCTTGTTTTACCTCATGCAGAAACACTTGGATGTCTTATAGCTCTCCACTAGAGGGAGCACCTAAACACTAAACGGGTTACTTAATTTATGCCACTTTTCCTACTGCTGCTGCAAGCTCTGCATTGGAAATGAAAGACAGAAAAGATTGTATTGAATATACAGTATATTTCACCATTCAAGATTTTGCATACGCTAAACACAATACAGTGGAACCTCGGATTACGAGTAACGCGGTTTACGAGTGTTCCGCAAGACGAGCAAAGATTTTTAATAAATTTTGACTTGGAAACCGAGCAAGTCCTGGTTTACGAGCGCCAAGTATCATCAAAAATCATATGGCACATATGCGCTCCTTGTTTTTCTTGTTTTTACGTGCGCTCCGCTTCAAAACAGGACGCCGATCACACGTCATCACAACTGAACCAATGGTTATTCACTTTCTCACGCTGCGGAATTGTGGGTAATCGTCTCCCATGCTCGGTCTCAGTCGGCATGCCTCACTCGTATAGTCAAAATTTAGTAGAAAAGCACCACCTGAATAAGGGCATAGCAGTGCGAGCGATGAATCTGTTTAACGACAATGCAATGTCCACATTTTTGCGAAATCAAAAAGGAGGCAAAAGAGGCTGTCATTGGATGGGTTCCTTGTTAAAGTCACACAAACAGAAAAAGATTCCAGTGAGCCAACAGATAGCAGTGATTCCGTTAATTATAGTGAAAGTCGTCCTACAAAATAACCCTCCTGTTCTCCTCTCTTGTCTCCCTCACACCATCCACGATTCTTTTCAAAGGTAAAGCACAGGTTAATTTGTTTTATGTATTTTTACTTTATATTTTGTATTAATTTTTATATGAATATTTTTGAGTTGTGGAACAGATCATATGAGTTTCCATTATTTCTAATGGGAAAATTCGCTTTGATATATGAGTGCTTTGGATTACAAGCATGTTTCCAGAACGAATTATGCTTGTAAACCAAGGTACCACTGTATTTGGTTACAATGTTGCATAAGCACTCTTAAACATGCATGCTTTTGCACAGTTGCGGTACCTTTTAAGATCATGCCATATACCGTAGTTTTCAGTATGCCAGTTCTGATTGATTGATTGATTGATGTAATTAAAACTGGTATTTTGCCCCAAAATGCGCAACTGTGATTGAAGTGTCGGTGCTAAAAACTGTTCTTTCACTTGACAGTTGTGTTGAGTTACTTTAAATGCATAAGGCCAGTCTGTTTTATGTGTTTTATATATTTGTGCAAAAACAACAAAGCCAAAATTTATTTAAACCTTTAATACATATTTCAGAAAAGCAACCAATGAAAAAATTGCATTATTATATTACTTTTGCATTATTGAAATAAAATAATTTTCACATAAACTTTGTACAGTAGTTCACTACATATTTTATACTTTTGTATAATATTATGTATAATATTATACAGTTTTATTAGGAGGGGATTTTTCAAATTGTTTGCCTTGGATGCAACTCAGTAGTAGTGGCAGTATTTGTTGTTTGGTGAGGGGTAGGGGGACATCTGTTGTCATTTTTAGGGCTGCTGGTGGGGGTACTAAGCAGATTGCCTCCCCCCAGTCCTGGCCCTATTTACTTGCATGACAAGACTTTTCTTTGACTCTTCCAAATAGATTGAGCAATTTATTACTACGCCGTTGGGCTTGCATGTCCTGCCTTTCTTAAGGATAGGACTTTAGAAGACAGCCTCAGGAACCCTTCCATGGCTTCCCTTTGAAGTCAAATTTCATGATGCCAACTCTCTATGGAGATGTTACCTTGGAAACAGTACTTACTTATTTTATAGATAGCGGCCAGGTAAAGTAGGAGGGTAATACAGTGAAAAGTAAAAGGAATATGCTAAGGACGTCTAGGGGGAATACGGCAAGGTGTCTAGAGTCGAATCAAGGTCTGTCTGTTAATGACTCACTGGGATTAGAAAATCCAGTGCAGGGCAGTGACTCAGTGGAAAGATGGGCAGATGGTGGAGAATTACCGTCAGACCCCTCTCTGGTCTCCTCACACTGGTTTTTGGAATGAATACTGCTGGACAGGAGTCTAGCTGTTAACGCCCACACGGTTTCAGGGCGGAATGCAGGACGAAGAGAGCAAGACAAAGATTTCTGTCCACTTACCTTATTAATTTTAATAGAACTACCTTAAATTTCAGAACTTAAATTGAGTATCGATTTTCTCTCAATGGTCACTCGCCAGTTGATTGCATGGAAAGGAAGATATCAATAATAATAAATCACTTTTGATAAAGAGACTTTATTCTATCTGTGTTAAGATTCAAGATGTTTTACTGGCCATGCGCAACATGTGCATTAGAATATTTACTTGTTCTACTACACCAAGTACAAAGAACAACAAACAAAAAACCATAAACAGACTCAGGGGCAGAGTAAGCACCCTGGGGGCCCTCGGCTAACATGGGTAAGAGGCCCCCCAAGTGAGCCATTGGAGATATTTTTGGAGCTGAAAGAGAAACAAGAGGGAATTAAAAATGATAGAACATCAATAATATGCTAATGAAAGCACGGGATGCCATCGATAAAACTTAACAATCAGGGTCGGGGTGGGAAATGCTGTCAATAAGATTTGCTGATCGGGGAGGGGGGTATCATGCTGGAGGATTGATTGGCCAAATTTAAGAAGTTTATCCATTTCCTCTTTTGCTATGGTTAGCTTTGCATTTTTGCATATGCACATTAATTGTGTTCTCTCCTCGTCCGTTAACGATTTCTCTACCATTCTAGAGAGACAGTAACAGACAAAGGAGATGTAATGTTTGTCTTTGTACCATTTTCTTCTTCTTACTTAGTGCCATTTTGTTTGACAGTGAACAACTGGTAGACTCCAGTGGTAAGAGAAAGCTGGGTAGCACAAAGTCTCAAGGTTGAATAATTCATTGTAGCTAGGATGGGAACAACATTGTCTATCCTGAAAACTGCTGCTACAAATGCAAATAACATGCATGTTGCTGTCATTTAAATTATCATATTATGTTATATCCTTAGATGTAACTTCTGGAAATTCTGTCTTCATCGGGCCCCAAGTTTTCTGGGGCCCAGGCAGCAGCCTACCCCTGCCTTATGGTAAGTCGTCCCCCCCCTGAACAGACTACAGGCAATACACATGCAATAGTGAAGTGAAATAAGTTTCATTTATATTCTCGATCAGCTCATCAGGAATTTTCTGCACACCAGTAGGGGGCAGAAATAACAGGAAGATGATAACAACATTGTCCTCTTGGTCAGCTCAGATACCACCTATGAGGATGCTAACTGCACACAGCTGGTCAGCACTAATTATCCCAACCAGGGCTGGGACGGTGTTTCTCAATGTAGCATAAAGCTCATGCTAGGGAGAAGGAAAACGGTGAGCATGTTGTGTAGGTTTTCTCTGGCCCCCAAGAGTAGGCATCCTACAGTGGGATTCCCAACCCGCAGTCCATAGCCAGTATACCACTGTGCCAAGGAGCACTGGGGGTGTTTTTTGGGGGGGTTGAGTAATTTCCAAAGATAAACTATGTATTTTAAATTTTTATGACCTCGCAAGAGCCATCAAGGCTGACTGGCATGTGCATGCTGCAGTGCCATGTGTCCATAGTAATCCGCTCTGTTTTATTGATCTTCAGAGTGAGGTTGTTGCTATGGCACCATTCCACCAGCTGTACCACCTTGCTCCTGTATGTGAACTCATCATTACAGGTGCTGAGACTAATTACTGTGAATTATTAGCAAAGTTCATGTGGTTGCTTCTGAGTGTGCAACCGCAGTCATTACGTCAGAAGGGATGAGGTCTTATCTCCGATCTTCAGTCCCTGGGGACCGTTTCTTTTTAGGAAGTCCAGAACCCATTTGCATTTGGAGTTGCTGAGGCCCAGTTCCTTGAGTTTTCCCACCAGCTTCTCTGGCATGGTGTTAAAGGCAGAGCTGATGAATAACATTCTGGCTAAGGTGCTCATATTGTTCAGATGTTCAAGGCTGGTGTGAAGGGCCAAACAAAGAGTGTCATCCACTGACCTCTTCCTGAGTACACAAGCTGTAGGGGGTCTAGAGCAATGCTGGGGAAGTGCCATATAACCATATCAGTAATTCCATATCAGGAAACTGGTCATGTACCGTGACCTTCACCATAGTCATAAAACAATAGCATTTATTAGTTTCAACATTTGATGTGTTCTATTTTCAATTAAATATGGGTTTAAATGATTTATAAATCATTGCATTCTGTTTTTATTTACATTTTAAACAGAGTACAAACTTTTTTGGAAACGAGGTTGCATATAAATTTGTATATTTGTATGTGTTTTGCACAGAAGTATTTTAACTTCACGAATTACTTCTTCAAATGCACAGATAAATCATTGTGTAAATGCATTTCAAGTAGTAACTTACATAGTGCTAAAGTGCTATAATCGAGAAAAAAATAGCATGCAAGCTATATTGAAATGCTAATAATATTAAGCTATTCATTTACTCCCGTTGAGTATTGTGGGTCTTGCAGTTCCCATTTCTCAATTTCTTTGTGACTGGATTCTTGGGTATAACAGCTGTTGTGTTCTCTGGCTTTAATGGTGAATGCTGACTATCTAGCATGTAATTAAAACCCCTGCCAATGTTGGTAGTTAATTCTTTTCCTTACCAAACCCATCATACTTCAAGGACAACATTATATAACAAACGTTTGTATTTGCAAATTTGATGACTAAGAAGAGAATGTGTTAAACAGTTACACTAGTAATAGGAAATTCGCTGTATTCCCAAAGCACCTGCTTAGTAATGGTTCCTAGCTCCCCTGAATATCAAATATTCAAAGCCCTGAATCGGTAGTATGTGCCACACATTACATTAGTAGACAGTGACCTTAACCATTGCTTGAGAGGGTCCCAGGGAATAGCACTCTGTGAGCATGTGAGATATGAAGATGAATTCCTATGTACCTATACTCGTATTTGTGCTATGGCCAATAAAGGATTATTATTATTATTATTACTATTATTATTATTATTGTTATTATTATTATTATTATGTACTCCAGCTGAATAACAAGAAATTAAATATGTTAAAAGGTTATATACATTATAGTGAAATGAATGACCCATACCTGCTCAGCCTACGTAATTCTGGATCGTTTTTCTGGATTTCTTAATATGTGCAGCACCAAATCTTTTCTGAGGGTTACTTCCCTTTGCTTTTGTGTTCAGAAATCTTCCTCAGCCTGAGCTTGGGTGTCAGGAACTTTGGACTGGCCCACATTTCTCACTTTCAAGACCCGCTGCAGAGCTTGAACAAGCACATGGACTCACCCCTATCCGGTTTTGCTTGGTTTCTCATTTGTTTCTCTCTTGTTCTCCAGCTGTCGCTCACTAATTCTCTTTCATATGGAACAGAGCTGCTACACAGAGGCAGCTGTGGTAACTCGTGAGGAACCTCCGACGTGTCAGAATTTCTCCCCCCAAGTGCCCACCACTTTTTTGCTCTGAAAGCATCCTTGATTTGAGATGCACCAGGACTTCACAGGCAATTCATTGGGGACAGGTGATAAAAGTGGCATGGTGTCACATCAAGGATACGGTGCTCATTTGGTGACTGATAAAATGGAGCACACCTTCATACACACATACACACCCACATACACACACACACGTTTTTATGAAGATCTTTGTGAGGACCATCCATTCATCTCTGTGGGCAGAACCCTAATCCTAACAATGACAACCTAAACCCTACCCAGCCATAACCTTAATGATAAGTAGCTAAACCAAATACAAGATTCCCCCCCACACACGCACACACTTTCCTGGTCAACTACAATGTTATCTCTCCTTACTAAACACACAGACCTATACAATCCAGGTCACGCAAGTACAGACTGCCTTAACACTGTGTCCTTCTGCGGACGGTATAGACCTTCATAACTTTGTCCTTTTGACACAGCAGCCATCGCCATGGGAACACATAGATTTGGCTGAGTGAGTTTCCCTGTTAAATTACGGTGTAGTGGGCCTCTGGCTTGAAGAGCCGCAGTAATGGTACTGGATTGTATCCGTGGGAGACCAGCAATCGCCTCCATCTGCACACAATGCAAGAGTAAATACAACCCAGATTCTGCTCCCAACAGACGAGCCCGCTGACAGTGCAGTGAAGAATGTAGACAGATGGGGAAGAGGGATGTGGAGCCAGGGAAGGAAGACGGAAATTGACACTTCTGGAATGGACTCGGTAGCAATATACAAATGATAAGTCTCATTAGCCCAATGAGATCCGTCAAGTGAAACGTTCAGTGGGAGAGGTCCGGTCAAAGCAGCTGCAGCCTCTTATCCAGAGATACTCTCACACCCACCAGTGCAAGTACAAAAGAGTCAATAGCAATGCTAAGCCATGAATAAAACAGCAGATATAAAAGCACACACTGGCCACAGGAAACTGAAAAAAAAATCACACTTACATGGAAGGACACGGCAGACAAACAAATGGGTTTTCTTTGGTTATGTTAGTTTTGTTTGGCTCTGTGATTTGGGTTTGTTTGACTGGTTTTCGTTCCTAAGGTTAGTTTTATTATTGGTCATCTTCTATGGACCCTTCAATAATTACCTGCATTGCTTTACCCGTTTTGTAAACATCCATTCTGAAAATAAGTCAATGTTCACGGTGGATTACACTGTATCTACAGTATCTCGTATCTGTACTGATGTGAAATCCCGAGCATTCTGCATCATTACCACTGTGCTGGAGGTCAGGCCCCATGGCTCTGCAGCAAGCCAGAGCGCTGACGTTTATGCTTATGACCCGTGTGGACACTAATGATCCTTGATGAGCCCTTGCCATAGAAGCGTGAGGGGAATGAATGTACCATGTGGGAAGGGAGGGTGGCCCTGTCAATAAGGGTGAATCCAGGGTGGAGGAGGACAAGGGGGATGCTACTGAGGTCATGATGCCATGATGCCACTCAGTTCAGGACTGGTGGCAAATTATGCATCATTACCATTGGACCCTCCAAATAACATTTTCATAGTGTTAATATAGATTTGAGGTAATGTTATGCTGGATATGCAAGATCACACAAGTGTGAGAAATTTGGCTGAGCTTCTCATAAAACAATTAGCTTCCCTTAATGACCAAGAAGGTCAAACTGAAAAAACAGACATCAGGCTTCACTGCGGCACCCCTGACATTTCACACCAACTGACATTACTTACTGTCTGAAAGCAAACAGATTAGATTCGTTTTGCTATTTCTGGCTCATGAACAGTCTGCTGTGGGACATATTTTGCTACTCTGGACAGCACCTAAACTCAATTACCCCCCCTCCACCCCCCTGAGAAAAGGCAACAAATCTTGTGGTGTGTGTATTACAGCATCAGGGTGTGGATGGCACTTGTTCGTCTGAGCTCTGCTTTGTCAGCATCTGGTACAGTACAAAGCCCACTACAATTAATCAGGTTCACAATTCAATCTAAAGAAACTCCATTAAGAGGAGGAGAGGGCCCCCCAGGTAAAAGGCAACGCTTAATTAAAAAACTATTTACACGACAGGATTAATTCATTGGTCTCCCAAATGAACAGAGCTACATGAAATGGCTATTGTAGAGGACTCCGGTCAAGTGATTTGTATCAGGGAATAATATAACCTTTTGCAGTTATTATTTATTGAAATAAGTTGGCTTTGGATAAAAGTGACAGCCACACAAATTAAATGCAAATGTAATAAGTTTTTCATCAAGATTTTCTAATTAGGGGATTCAGTTTGATGAAAGTGCAGTTTTCCAGTACTAGGTGCGGTGAGTTATGTAACCTATTATTTACCATTTTGTAGGTCAATAACCAATTCATTGTGGGAGCTCGATCCTATAAGGAGTAGTGATGCGTAATGCGTGACCAGTAGTTTCATGCGGCAAGTCTGGCGCGGATTCGGTATAGATGTGACGAAATGTGTACTATGATAGATCGCTAGAAAGGAATAAGAACTGCCACGCCAGTTAAAAGCGCCGTTTTCAAAAGGTGTTACAACCAATAACAACTAAAACGAATATTTCATCTCTGACAGGAGGCATTTTTTCAGGGATGTTAAGTGATCGCCGTGTTCTTTATTAGCCCAAGCAAATGCGCACAAAATTTAACACGATCGATGAAAAATACAACCACACAGGAAATGTGTTTACAAATTGTTTTCGGTTAAAAATAAAAGTAAGTAATTTCAATTATACAAATAAATTTCGACTGGTGTTGGGAAACATGCCCACAATGCAGTCCTTTTCAAAGTTAAGAGCAATAGACTGTGAAATTTGTTAAACTTTGTTCTTGTCTTGAGAAGAGTTACTGTATATGGGCGAGGAAAGTCCACCAGACCAAAGTTTATAGATTTTTTATTAAGAATTATTTTTCCAAACAGCTGCGGTTACTCAGTTTTACCATGGAACATTTGTACAAATTTGTATTAATGTAACTCCGTTCATTCCTTCTGTGATAGCCTACATAAGTAACCTGTATTCGGTTGCCTTTTTGCATCGACGACGTCAAGCGGTATATTCCTTTGGTGTATCTGTAGCTTAAATGACGATGAAATACCAGTGTATGCCTATGTATATATTAAGATTAAATTGTAAATGAAATATCTTACTAATTTCGACATGCAGTTGTGGTTAAACAGACAATTTAAGCACGAGACACTACTATAAATGCGCGTTTGATTAAATACGCTCATTGCTTTCATGCGTGTAAATACAAATACACCACGCAATATATTTGTTCTTGAGACTAAGATAGCATGCATTTTGAATGTTTGATTAGGTAACTGCATTGACATATGAAAAGTTCTGTTTTTTAAGCACGTTATGAGGCTTGTCCTTTAAATTGCAATAGTTGCTTGGTTATGTGGCCTGACACTCGACTCATTATAAGAATGTAATGTCAAGCATGGACGTTTTTCATGCCCTGCTAAAGACGTCCTAACACAGTGATGATCAAAGCAGGCCCGAGATGCGGCATTGAATCATTTTAAACGGCATATTTTTCATATGAAAAAATGATTTGCATGAATATAACAGCTTGTTGTTGTTCATCTGCTCGACTTCGTGCCACTCCATCAGCCAGCCCGGAAAAGCGTGAGCTGACAGAATAAACGCTTCTCGACTGCAGTCATTAGACGCTCATTTTCTAGCGTGATTAACGCGAATTTAGCTGAAGGTGCCGAACAGCAGACCCAATTCTACGTGAAATCTCCGTTTGATGCAGCATTATAGCAGATGATCGCCCGGTGTGCATCCGCACTTTTGTTCCACTAACTAAGCCGTGGCTTGTTTCTGCCTGCTGGAAAGTGCTGTTCGCTGATAATTGTTAATTAACTTAAAATCTCAGTCACGTGTCAGACAATATTATGAGGAACACCGCAACATTTTATCAGTGTGGATAAACGCATAAGTATTCACACAAATATCAATATGTAAATGAGGTTTTGCCTTCGCTAGGATTTAACCAGCAACGCCAGCCCCTTGCGGCACCATGAGCTCACATGAGGCCGCTGTCATCGGGAAGACACCAGAAAGGACGGCGTTTCCCTGTTCTTAAAATCCAGCAGCGTTTCTCCATTATCACGCTTAAATCTCTGGCGTGTGGAGAAGGTCAGTACATCGTCACTGTTGTGCGACTTAATCCTCCTGGTTTAAGTGTGCTGTGTTAGAGATGCCAATAAGACACTCGCACTGGCGTAACTGTGTATGGCAGAAGCATTCTGACATATTATGCCAATAGTGTTTCCGTCACTGACAGCTTTGGCGTTGGGTAGCAGGCTGCCAGTCCGTGTCTAAGACCATTTAAAATCGTTCTGTTCCGTGAAAAGCATGTTGTGCTGTTGCTGTTTTTCCCCCCCAAATAAACCTGATGGTTGGCAGAAAACCATCTTTAATTTGGTTTGCACATGCATCGTTCATGAAGCAGGTTCTTACAAAGTCCAGCCCTCAATCTCCCTCTTGTTGTCCTGTACTTTATGGCTCTTTATTTGTCATGGTGCGTTAGCTGCCTATCGCACTGTCTATGTCCGGCAATCATTGGACCAAATGCCTATATTCTGATGGCATTCCATTGCTATGCTCTTTCCACCTCCTGATTATGGCATTTCTGTATTCCTTTGGCTGTCGTCTCCCAGGTAACCTTCCCCAGCTTCATAAGCTGGTGTCAGGATGTCCGTGCCCCATTGGCTTCTCTTCCTATCCGCCTGCTGCTCTCACATACTGGGCCATGGGTGCAAGGTTGCTCACAGGAAGGACGCAGAATCTACATGCTCCTTCACAAATGGTGTAACACTTGGAAACATTTGTAGACATGTGCAAATGTAAGTGGTGCATTTTTAATGCTAATCATACCCCTTCATCATTACCTGCCTGACACACTCCTAGTGTTTTTTAAATCTGCATTTCCAATGCAATGCAAAAACACAAGGTATCTAGGCTCAGCCAAAAAGGAATTGAATGCTTTTCTTTTGTCTGCAAAGATTGTCTTCCACCCTTACTGTTCCCCAAGGGACCTGTCTAGACCCATCATTAGGCCACATATATTCCCGGGTGCTTCATTGGACCCCAGCTCACCTGATTCCTGAAGTTTCCTTGACTACTCTAACACCAGTGGCTTGTACTGTAGAATGGTATAGATGTGCTGTCCCTTTAAGACAGAGAGAGAATGCGAATAGGAGAGGGTGAGAGAACACATTAGTCTATCATGAGCTATTTTTTTTTTTCCATCCTCAGTTGTGCTGAGCAGCTCTCCTGCACAAATACACTTGTGCGCAGGCACGGATGCTAGAGACATTCACACACACACATACACACACACACACAAGCACGCAATCGCACACACTCTGTCGGTGTGGCTGGACTGGCGCCATCACGGAGGAGCATCCAGGCCAAGAGAGAGACAGATAGAAAGAAAAAAGGGAGACAGCCGGAATAAGGAAAGCAGCGAATAGGAGAAGAGACAGTCTGAGGAGAGCGTGAGAGGCAGGAGAAGGGGAAAAAAACCCAAAAATTATTACGCACAACACAAGAGATTCGTATTGCAGAATGGGAAATGCACCATCCCAAGGCATGTCAACTCTATCTCCATGCACACGTTAGTAGCAAGGTATTTTTAATTTGTGTGTTTTACAACTGCTGCTGTCGGTTCTTTGATTTCTGGGGGAGGGTTGGTGTTGGTTTGATGTGTTGTTTTTTTCCCTCAAGTTTCATTTGATGCTTGCGCCCGTTTGGCCGGTGCTCAGAGTGGGGAGGGGAGATGCTAGCGTGTGCGTGTTGGGCTGTGCGGGAAAGTGAGTTGGCAATGGGATCGGTGCCCCGTGTGAGCTGAGCAAGTGGGCTTGGTGGAGTCCAGATGCTGATGCAAGTCCGAGCACTTCGCTGTGCCTATGTGCTGCTGAACGAGGGAGCCTTTAAAGAAATGTGGTGCTGCTCTGCTGGAGTTTGAGCGGGGTGTTATTTAGCTGAAGTGAGGAGTCTGAAATAGTGTGTTTGTGTATCTATGGGGGGGTCTGCCAGCACATAGGGGAAGCCTCATCGCCCATGAGGCCAGCAGGGTGGGTGTTATGAAGATGCTGAGATGCTGTGATGCTGAGGTGGGCTCCGTGTGTGTGTGTGTGAGAGAGAGAGAGGGGGGGGGGAGAGAGTGCATGGTTTATGTAATGCTTTTAAAGTGGCTGTTGGACAGTTTATACTTAATTTGTCATGGAAGATGGAAATTCAGCATCCCCTACCATGTAAACATGAAAACCAAGTGAGGAACAGCGGAGCAGGCAGATCTGACACTGAAAGACAGTCAGACTCTTGGGAATTGAGAGAGCGACAGAAGGAGGGGGTTGCATGGCAAGAGGGATGGAGGGAGCTAAGAGAGCAGAGGGATGGAGGGGGAAAGATCACTCACACAACTGGGACAGGAAAGGGAGGCAGTGATGCTGTTGTCAGGGGGGACCTGGGCAGTTCATTCTGCAGGTCACCCAGGGAATTGTTAGGGTTGCTGTGGAGAAAAAGTCCACCTTGGAGAAAGCAGATGTACTGTAAGACGTCTATTTAAAGGTTGTGGTATGAACAGAGGAAGAGTTTAGACCGAGAAGCCAAAAATAACAAGTAGAGAGATGTGTGGCATTGTAAGAACATGGTACTTATACACATTAGCATATAAAGCAGAGGTTAATCATTCTGTTTTCAATATATGTATCCATGATTTCTTCTTCCATAAGCAGTTTGGGGTCACCGTAAGCCTAGAGCCAATCCCAGGTTGCATAGAGCACACCATGGATTAAACATAGTCTAAATTCTTGCTAAGGTGTAGCAAGAAGAACTGGACATACATTTCAAAGAGAGTGTGTCAGAGAATGCCATTATCATTCTTAGGGTAGCAGTGGAAAATGCTGCTCTCCCTGTCTAAGTTGTCAAGTAAGAGCCATTTTTGCACTATAATGATCGATCAGAACATGTTTGTGTGAAGTGAATCAAATGCAGAAAAGTGTGTAAGAAGCACCTGCAGGTCTTTATGAAAGCTGCTGCAGTGCCGCCATGGGGAGACAGTGATAAATGAGGCATTATGGGAGAAAAACCACTGATTATGACTGAGAGGTTGAGGCTGCTTCAGGAAAGCCAGTCCCCACTGGCTCTGTGGCTGCTGAATGCCACTCCCAGCTTTTTTCTGGGGGGGGGTGCGCCCCCCTCCCTGCCTGAAGTTGATTACCTTGCAATCAGCCTCTACTCTCCCTGCATGGGGGCTTTTGAGTGCAAACGGCAATTTGTGTTTCTCGCGTGTGTTTTTCTTTTGGAGCAAAGGCTGGTCTGTTTTCCTTGATCTTTTGACGTTGTCTGTTGCTGCCTTTCCATTCAGCTGAGCCTGCATTACACAAAAAGGTCAGAGAGAGCAGGTCAGGTTAGTGCCGGACCTGAAAACCCAGAACTGGGTGCAGGAGTTTTCCACAGCAGTGCCGAGGTCAACCTGTCGTCTGTGCAGAGTGACCCACCGTTCCGTCGGCATTAGGCTCACTCTGATGGATGCCTTCGTTTTCAGTCAGGACTGATTATTCATGAGCATGTGGCAAATGCACACTGACACTACAGGTGTGATGAGGGGCCGCATTGATCGTGCGGCACAAAGTTCAGGGTTGAATGTGTGGGCTTTGTATTCCCTGTGTGTGTTTATGCGGTTCGCAACTTGGCCGCTAACACTGGTAGCAAAGGAGCTTTGGGTGTTTCGTGACTTAAAAGTCATGAACTGCTTAATGATCTATGATTACTGAGCATGTTTAGGAGCTTACAATTTCAAAATTGACTTGTTTTGTTTTATGCTCAAGCAAATGTGTTTTTTTTTTTAATATTGTGAGTATAATATATTGAAAGGCATAGACAAGCACAGTGAAAATGTGAGGATGAGGAGAGCCAAGGCACAGTTGCAAAATGTGTGGGCGCGATGTTTCTGCTGGAAAACCAGTACAGGAAGACTTTAGGTTATAAAGTCAGTGATACATTTGACTAGTACAATGGCACTGCCCTAACAATAAATGACATTTTTCAGGTAATTGGAAATTGGTTTTGTGGTTTAAGGGACATTAAAGTGGGATGTTTAATTCTGCCTCCTGAAGGTGCCTCAATGGGCTTATTGAGTTTGGCTAAATGGTTTAATGCAGGCTTCACAGGGGATGAGAGGCTCAAAGGTTAGGAGGAGAATTGCTCTGCTTTAAACTGTGTGGAAGGCTAGAGGCATCTATCATTGCATACTGCCTAAGGATTTTAAATGCCTGTGTGATTTTAGGGTGTACGCAACACGTTTTAGTGACTATTGATTGCCTTTACTTTTGTTTTCCTGAGTGCATTTTTATTTCTGTTGGCCAATACTTTAAGAAAAGGAGATGCGTGTGTGTGCTGTACAATCGTTTCCCATCATAGCAAGACAAGAATTCTCTGTTACAAGAAGTTTGAAGACTGATCCAGCCTCTTTAGCAAATTGACCTTTTCTTTTCTGAAAGTGCTGCCCCACCCTGTACACCCCTGTGTAAGGAGTAAGCGTCACCCCCCTCCCCCCCTTTGTGAGATTGTAGCTTCACTGATCAGATGCTGAGCCTCTTAACTTTTCTGACAACACTACCAATTCTGCCTCCCTTGCATGGGAATCGAGAGGAGGTTTTTGGATTGAACTGCTTTCATTATCAGATCACTTAGCATTAATAAATCGATTGTCTTCATTCACAGTCCAGTGGCCGAAGACACATAGTTACAGATGCGTCTTTCATTTGTGAGCTGAAACAGACAGTCATAATTGAATAAAAACCCAGGATGGCATTTTTCCTTGTTTCACAATATCTAATCCACCACACCATATATCCTTGAACATTGACATAGCAGTTATATTAGGTCAGCTAGCCTCTGACATGTGTGTTAAGTTTATTCCAATTGATGTTTATGAAACGTAGTTGTGTTCCGCATGAGGCTCACATGCGATCACAACAGACTAACGATTAAATAGGGTGACTGTTCAAGGAGTTTCTGTCTGCTGCCCAAACAAAATATTCATGCTGGAATAGAATGGAAAGGAAAGGGGAAAAGTGGTATTGACTAGGGATGGAGACAGACAAGGTCCTGCTTGTTACCTCAGA